TCCATGGCTGATGACAGTGGGGTTGGGGACACCACGTAGTCCCTGAAGCACTACTGTCCCCTCCACCCAGCTCCCTGAAAAACGAACTGGAGAGGGAAATCCCCCTGGGCACCTACCAGTACCCAAAGAGCCTCAAGGACACAATCCTGCTTGGACCCAACTCCAGTGCCAGCTCCAGCTGGGCTGCTATGCGGTGAGTGCCAAGGGCTGAAAGCAATGCTGAGGTGTTCCTTGAGTGCCAAGGTGTCCCTGGGACACAATGACATTGCTGCTGCCCTCAGCTCGCTGCTGGAAGCACCTCTGCAGGCTGAGAACTACTACCAGAAATTCCAGCTGCTGCTGCACCTGGAGGAGATTCAGATGGAGGTGGACATCCGTCGCTACGACATGCAGGACGTGACCATGGTGCAGGAGAGGGCACTGCTGGTTCTCGATGTGCGTGGGGGGCTGAGGGACGGGAGGGGTGCTGGTGTAACACTGGCACTCCCAGAGTGCCTGGCATCACACTGGCCCTTTGGCACAGGTGCCTGGCGTGGCCGAGAACCGCCCATCCCTGCTGAGAGGGGACCACCTGTTTGCCCACCTGAGCAGCGAGCGGGACCACTCCCCGCTCGTCCGCTACAAGGGCTACGTGCACAGCGTGGAGCTGGACAGGGTCAGGCTGGGCTTCTCCTCCAAGTGAGTGGTGTCTGGTCCCAGCAGCCTTTCTCAGAGATGCCAAAGGCCAGGAGTGGGTTGGAAAGGGCCAGGAGGGCATGGGAGAGTGTCCCGTGCCCTGCTCACACCATCCCTTCCCAGGCTGCAGAAGAAGTTTGTGAAGAACCTGAAGTTCGATGTGACCTTCACCTTCAGCCGGCTGCCACTGCAGGTCCAGCACCGGGCTGCAGTGCTGGCCATGCGCCGGGGCTTGTCCAGCCTCCTCTTCCCCTCCGCCTCCTGCCACAAATCCCTCTTCTCAGGGCCCTTCCAGCCGCGGTGAGTCCCAGTTCTGCAGGGTGGGAGGCTCTGAGGGGCGAGGGGATGGAGGCGATGGGGCTTGGCCAGCGCAGCCTCTGCTCCCACAGGTGGTTTAACCGCAAGCTGGAGACCAACGAGGAGCAGTGCAAAGCTGTGACCCACATCGTGACGGGGGTGTCCCGGCCAGCCCCATACCTCATCTTTGGCCCCCCTGGCACTGGCAAGACGGTCACTATGGTGGAGGCCATCAAGCAGGTGGGTGGCCGGTGCCCAAATCCAGCCCTGAGCATTGCTGCCCATTCTCATCCATGGGGCTCAGTGCTGTCACCTCCTCTTCCAGGTGTGGACATGCTTCAAGGATGCCCATATCTTGGCCTGTGCCCCCTCCAACAGTGCTGCAGACCTGCTGTGCCAGTGCATCATCAAGGACATTGCCCCTCAGAACGTCTACAGGATCATCGCCAGCTCCAGGAGCTACAGGGAGGTGCCCAGTGATATCAGGGTAGGTCCCTGCCCCTCCACCCTGAAATCCTGACAGCACATCTGGGCTGGCATCCCCCAGGATAATGGGAGCTCACCCAATGCATGTGCTCCAGCCCTGCTGCAACTGGGATGATGAGCAGAGCAGCTACGTGTACCCAAGCAAGGAGAGACTGAGGCACTACCGGATTATCATCACCACACTGGTGACAGCAGGAAGGTCAGAGGAGCTGGGATTGTCCCCAGCATCCGTGGCAGCTGGACCCAGGGCTGCCTTGCATCCAGGCTGTGAAGGCAGAGCCTCTGGCGCTCAGCAGGGAGGGCTTGGAGGAGGGCCGGCAGCAGAGGCAGCAGAGGAAATCCCTCCTCTGTGGGAGGGTGAGGGTGAAGGGTGGGAGAGGAAGGATGGCCAGGTGGGGCAGGATGCTAAGAACAGCCTCTTTGCATCTCTCCTCCAGGCTGGTGTCAGCCAATTTCCCCCCTGGCTTTTTCTCCCACGTGTTCATCGACGAGTGTGGCCACGCGGTAGAGCCGGAGAGCGTCGTGGCCATCGCGGGTGAGCAGTGCCTGCCTGCTGCCTCAAGGGCCGGCTTGTCTGCATGGCCTGGGGTCCCTCCCGTTCCCCGCTGAGCTCTCCCTCTTCCCAGGGCTCCTGGCTCCCATGGATGAGGAGACCAACCCCAATGGGGGGCAGCTGGTGCTGGCAGGAGACCCCAAGCAGCTGGGCCCCGTCCTGACCTCACCGCTGGCAATCCAGTATGGTCTGGGTGAGTAGGGAGAGGAGTGGGAGTGCTGTGGGCGCCCCACAGGGGCTGAGTGTCCTTGTAGGGAGCCACAGGATATCACTGGGCACAGGCACCTCGCTGCTGGAGAGGCTGATGCTGCACAACCCCTTGTACCAGAAGTCGAGTGGAGGATACGACCCACAGTTCATCACCAAACTGCTCTGGAACTACAGGTGGGGACAGGGATAGTGCAGGAAGGGGTCAAGCCAGGCAGGGATTGGTGAGCATGGCACTCCAGGATCTGTCCCCCAGAGCTTCAGAGTGCCCCAGCTGGTGTGGGAGATGGGAGTGCACCTGCTGTCCTGGGTGCACGGTGCCTGAGACGGCTCTGGACCACATGGCACCCACCCTGGCATGGTCCTGCCTCTCCCAGGTCCCACGAGGCCATTCTCAGGATCCCCAACGAGCTCTTCTATGACAACGAGCTGAAGGTGTGCAGGAGCAACGGGCTTGACATCCGGAATCTGTTTTGTACCTGGGAGGAGCTTCCCAAAAAAGTGAGGCACAGGAGGGACTGACCTAGGGGGTTCCCTGAGGCACAGGCAGAGCAGAGCCAAATGTTCTCCATCCCCAGGGCTTCCCCATCATCTTCCATGGGGTTTGTGGGGAAGACCAGAGAGAGGCCAAGAGTCCCTCATTCTTCAACACGGCTGAAATTGAGGTCCTGGTCCACTACCTCAAGAAGCTGCTGCAGAGCCGGGGCAGGGGAGGCTGCCCCAGTGTGTCCCCCAAGGAGATCGGCATCATCTCTCCCTACAGGAAGCAGGTGAGGGACACAGCTCTGCAGGCAGGGCAGAGGCAGAGCAGAGACCTCCCAAGGGACAGGGAGCACTGGGATGGATGGGCAGCCCCAGGGCTGGCACAACATGGCCCTGTGGAGGCTGGATTTTGCCACATGCCTCCACTCAGGTAGAGAAGATCCGGAAAGCCATCACCTCCCTGGATCCCGACCTGCAGAAGCTGCCGGACATCAGCCAGTTGAAGGTAGGTCCTGGGCATGGAGGAGAGGGGAGCACACCATGCCACAGGAGGAAGGAGCCCGGACAGCCCCAGCCCAGGGGTGCTCCTGGCCCTCACCTGTTGTCCCTGCCCCAGGTGGGCTCTGTGGAAGAGTTCCAGGGCCAGGAGCGGCAGGTGATCCTCATCTCCACCGTGCGCAGCAGCAGTACGTACCTCCAGTTCGACCAGACCTTCAGGCTGGGCTTCCTCAAGAACCCCAAGGTACCGCCAGCCCCGAGCAGACCCCCCTCCCTTGGCATCCCCCTCTTCCCTGTGGTTCTCACAGGCACGTAGAGCTGCTCTGGGTGCTCATGCCACCAGAGCTGCCTGCACCCAGCTGGGGCTGCAGGACGATGAGAGGTGTTGCAGCAGGTAAAGCCCTCTTGCTTGTCCTCTTCAGAGGCTTAACGTGGCCATCACCAGGGCCAAGGCTCTGTTGATCGTGGTGGGTAATCCTACTGTGCTCAGCAAGGACCACCACTGGCTCAGGTGAGCTGCTCCTGGCCCCTGCCACTGGCAGTGCTCACCAGCACCTGCCCTTTCCTGCTGCCAGCACGTGGTTCCTGGCTGTGCCCATGCCACGGAACAGCCGGGCCAGGGCCACCTCGTGCCCACGCTCCCCTCCCTCTGCACCTGCAGGTTCCTCAGGTACTGCAAGGAACAGGGTGGCTACACCGGATACCCTTACGAGGATGAGGGCACAGCTGAGGACAGACTCGCCAACGACCTCCAGGCACTGCAGCTCAGTGTTTAGCACCAGGTGAGCAGAGCTGGCAGCATGGCCAGGGCAACAGCTGGGGCACTAGGAGGCTTCTCCTGCCCCAAATGCAGCAGGACTTAAACCAGGTTTTTGCTTAGGCTTGCCTGTCTCCATCTCAAAGTCAGGAGCCAGCTCTACCATGAGGTTTCTCTGCAGGAAATGCACCTGGGAAGGGAGGAGAAGCCCCGTGAAGGTACATCCCCCTCAGCCTGTCCCAAGCCTGCAGCAGCTCCTGCTTTTTCTGTCTCAGTCCCAGGGTGCTCCATGCCTCTCTGTGGAGATGGGGCTGAACTCACAGGACCAGAAGGTGTTGCCAGCCTTTGCTGCCAGCCACGAAGCCCACACCAGCACCAGCACCAGACTGGGACAACTCTCCATTTTAATAATTTTTTTACATGGCTGTGGCAAAACTGTTCTCTGTGACTGGTCTCACCATTCAGTGAAAGGCTTAGGCCTGGAGGCTCTGGCCTCCAAAGAGCATCACTGGGTGCACAGGGGAGCTCACTGCTGCTGTGATGGGTGACTGGGGAAGGCAGGAACCTGGTCTGGGACAGGTTGGCTCAGCTCTCCACTGGGCAGCTGCCTGGCCTGAGAGCTGGCATGGCTGTGCAGACACTCTATTTCCCTCGAATAAATGTTTAAAGAAAAGCAGTGTACTGTTGAGTCCTAGGTGGGCCTTGCTTACACAGACAGGGCTTCCGAGCAGCATCAGGCTCAGGACAGCAGCCCTGTCCTGACCTGCTCCAGAGGAAGGATGGCTCCAGCAGTGATGGCACTGCCCATCATCCAGGGACTGGGTGCAGCTGGGAAGCTCCTGCCTGGCCCTTCCCGTGTAAACTGCTTCCTGGCTCTTTTGCAAGCACAGGGTAGTGAGCCCTGATCCTCCAGCAGCGGCTAAATCAACCGGGGCTGGGGGCCAGGCAAGTCCCCACCCTGCAGCACACGGCCCTGAGCCCAGGCAGGAGCCTGGAGCACTGAGAGGCACAAAGGGGAGCCAGAAGAACGCCACACAAGTGAAGTTACAATTACTAAAATACCAGTTTGCATTTATTCTCCCAATTATGCAGTTGGTTTAGTGCTGCCAAGCCCACGGCCGAGGCAGACTCGGAGGCGGCAGTGCCGGCAGAGCTGGGCACAGGTCCCAGAGGAGAGCTGCTGGCAGCAGCTGAGCCCAGCTCTGCTCAGACAGGGCTGAAACCGCCCGGGCAGGTCTGTAACACTGCTGTGTGCTGCCTGCACGCCCAGGGAGACCAGGCACAGCACACCAAGGGCCTGGCACACCGCACACGTGAGCTGTGACCGGCACCTCCTGCTTCTGTGGCACCTGCCCAGAGCAGGGGAAAGAGAGGGAATACCCCAGCAATGCCCGTGGGAAAGGCAAAAGCAGGGAGCTCAGTACAAAACGGGGCAACACGGGGAGCAACACGAGCACCGGCCCACGGAGAGCAGCAGGTGCTGAAGGCACTGGCCCCTCATGGCCCTGGAATGTCACAGGGACACCCTGCGAGCGTGGGTGGCAGTCTGGTGCAAAGGGTGCGGGGCAGGTGGTGGCACCACGAGGCGCTGCTGGGGCTGTGTGCCAGCAGTGCCCCTGGGCAGGGCAGGCAGTGCTGCTGCCAGCAGGGCTGCTCACAGCAGCGGGCAGCCTCTGCGCTTCTTGTTCTTGCGCACCTGCAGCCCAGCTCGGGTGGCCATCTCAAACACCTCCCGCACCCCCTCCTTCGTCTTGGCCGAGCACTCGAGGTAGCCAAAGGCGTTGATCCTGTTGGCCATGTCCCTCCCCTCCTCTGGCTTCACCGGCTCCTAGGAAGCAGTAAAAACAGGGTTTGGAAACATTGCCAGAACACAACAGCAACTGCCCTTGGGGCATGCAGCCCTTCCAGCCAGGATCTGGTGTGGGCAGAAGTGTCTTGCTGGCTGGGGGACCCGGGGCTGTCCCCACCTGCTTCATCTTGGCCAGCTCCCGCCGCGTGTGCTCGTCGTTGCGCAGGTCCTTCTTGTTCCCCACCAAGATGATGGGCACGTTGGGGCAGAAGTGCTTCACCTCCGGCGTCCACTTCTCAGGGATGTTCTCTACAACAGGCACACGTGGAATCCTATGAGCTGAGGAGCTGCTGCCCCACAGCCTCCTCACAGAAACCAGTCCCAAGCTTTTCCCGTTGGAGCAGGGAGAGCTCGCCCCACAGAACCCCCCTCTCCCACCACCTCTGCCCAGTCTGCAAGCTGCCAGCGTTTCCCTGCAGTGCACACAAGGCTGGGGGATGAAGGGAAGGCTCTGGCATCCTCGAGGGGCAGCTTGGGGGCTTCCCAGACCCCAGGGGGTTCAGTAGCAGCACCGAGTCCTGTGGGACCCCCAGGTCCCTACCGAGGCTGTCGGGGCTGTCGATGGAGAAGCACATGAGGATGACATCTGTGTCCGGGTACGAGAGGGGCCGCAGCCTGTCATAGTCCTCCTGCCCCGCCGTGTCCCACAGGGCCAGCTCAACCTACGGGGACAAGGACATGGCTCAGTGGCTCTGCAGGCCACGAGTGACAGATTTATCTTCCTCAGGTAGAGCTGTGCTCTTCCTCAAACTGGGCCAGGCTCAGGGCGACCCAGAAATGCCAGAGCCAGGGGCTCCTCTGTGCGCTGCAGGTGCATCTGAGCACACAGAGCAATCCCAGCAGCAGCACTGGGCAGTGGCACTGCAGCAGGACATGGAGCAAGGGGACAGGAATGACATGGAGCAAGGGGACAGGAATGACAACGGCCCTTACCTGCTTGCCATCCACCTCTATGTCAGCAATGTAGTTCTCAAACACTGTGGGCACGTAGACCTCGGGGAACTGGTCTTTGCTGAACACGATCAGCAGACACGTCTTCCCGCAGGCACCATCTCCCACGATCACCAGCTTCTTCCTGATGGCTGCCATCGCTGTGGGGGCACGAGCAGGTGAGCAGGACAGAGCAGCACAGGCACTTCATGCTCCTGGCCCCCCAAACTCCTGCGCACAACAGCCTGGGCGATACCAGACACAAGCACCGGGGCACATCCCACTGTGAGTAGCCAGTGACTGACAGGACAGAAGTCCCAACGCTCTGCCAGACACCCCTCCAGCTCCCACACACTTCACTCATGGGCACCACAGGAACTGGCCTGACTGGAACCATTTACACCCAGCACTGCTGCCGTGGCTGGGAGAGCCACCCCAGCTGTGGCCAGGGCTGGTGGCTGCACACAGGGACCTTGTGGGAGGTGACAAACCACTCTGCCTTCCCCAGATATCCAACCCTCCCTGGGTTTGCTGTGCTACCACCCAGGTAACCAGGATTTTAGACAATCTCAGAGTTCCACGCGCATGCTGGGTTTATTTTAAATTATAAATTCTTCAGGGCAGAAACTGTGCTTCGGATTTCCCCCCAGCTTGCTCACCAGACCCTGAATAATCTGATCAGCAGCTGGAACACACCAAGCCAAGCTCCTGGAGGTCTGGGCAAGCAGGACCTGTGTGCCTGGCACCCAGCACTGAGCTGGCCCCGTCCCAGCCTGTCTGAAAAAGGAGCCTTTGCCATGGAACCAAGAGAGCCGAACTGGCACTGGCAGGGGGAGAGGCTGCCAGTCATCACTCAGCAAACAGAGCTGAAACCCCACACAAAGCAAGCAACTTTCTGCCCCACGGGAAAAGGACACAGTTCTGCAAGGAAAACTATGCCTTTGCATCCCTCACTTTCAAAAGGGGTTTACAGCTGAGCCTGGGAACCGGCCAGGACAATGCCACAAAATGCCTGGCACAGCATCTGAACGAGGCATGAGAAAATCAGCCATAGTGGGGTCACATCCCTCCCCAACCTTGTGACCAAAATCTCTTTTCCATCCCCAGATTCTCAGTCCAAAGAGTCTGTCCTACTCCTCACATGCCTTCAGCACATCACCAGCTCCCTGTCCCTGCAGAGATCCTAGGAATGACACAGGCCAACATGTCAGGGTTTAATCCCTGAAAATTCACACTGCTCTGGGGGAAATTACAGGTGACCAAGAAACCTCTCCTGAAGGCAGGGATGTTCCATGCTTTCCCCCTCAGCCCTGCCCCTCTCCAAATCCTCTGCCCAGGCAGCAGGGTGGGAAGGAGCCATTCATGCTGGGAGCAACAGCTCCCAGGAAAGAACCCCATGGGAAGGACACACACACCCCAATGCTGAGGCATTGGGCTGCAAGCCCTGGGAGTGGATCATGCTGGGTCACTCCAGAATCACCTTGGGAAGGCCAGAACATCACAAGCCTGGCCTTTAACCAGGGCTCTCATACTGAGCCTTACCAAAGGCCAGGAATCTGTCCCTGGCCCAGTGATCCCACCCTCACCCTGTGCCAACAGAAGAGGGAGGAAAAGGGTAAAGCAGGAGTCTGGCTGCATCACAATTAGCTGCAAGTAAAGGATTAGGAAATGAGCCTGAATGGCTGACTGGCATTCCAAAGGCAGGCTGCAGACCTGCTTGTCTCATCCATGTGCCTGGCAGGTCACCCCTGTCACACAAAGCCCAGGGAACCACCCCCATTTCACAACTCACACTGCCCAATGGTTTGGGCAAAAGAGAGTTTTACCCATCCCAGACCGGACCCTGCTGTAGCCAAGATGAGCTTTAAGGACCTTTGTAGGTTCCAAGCATTCTGGCTCACAAGCTGAGGCAGGAATGGCTCATGGCTGCTGAGTGCTCTGGAGCTGCTAATAAAAATAGAAAGCTGGCACTTGTAAGGTGAGAAGAGTGAGAATCAAGAGCTGCATCCGGGAGAGGGGACATTCCTCAGCTGGGATCCTTGGTGTCAAGCACACATCCCAGTGGAGCAGCATGTCTACAGGAAGGTGAGCACATTTGTGCAACACTGAAGTCAGAGAAAAAAAGAAAAAGGTGCTCCAAAGGGTCCCTATAAGGAACCAGGGGCACTTTAGGGAGGCAAGTGCTGAGAATGGGGGGGAACAGCTCCTGTCCCTATTCCTCATGCCCTGCTGCTCCTGCCTGCCCAGCCTGGCCAGGCAAACCCACAGTCCCACAGAATCATAAAGGCTCCAAGATGTACAAGTCCAACCCTTGTTGCAATCCATCCTTGCCTGACCAAAGGCTCATCCTCTCTCCAGCAGCATGTCCACAGCACAGAAAACGGAGAGCTCAGGGAGAAAAAAGCCTGTTTACTTGGACACAAAGCTTCTTTGCCCACTGCAAAACATGATATGCTGCTCTGTGACTCCCTATCTCCAAGAGGAAAGGCAGTTTGGGCCGTGCCAGTATCTAACCCACAGCACAGGCAGCTGACAGCATCTGCAGCGTGAGCAGCAGGAGATGCCCAAGGACACAAACAGCCAGATGGACACCAGGATCTGCCCGTGCCCAGTCTGCAGGCACTGGGGTGGAACCGAAGCCAGCCCGAGTGGCCCTGCTCCTGCCCCAGGGCTGCCCTGAGAGGGGCACAGCAGCTGCCCCAGGCTGAGCACAGTCCCCCACCCAGGGCTCCTTCCCACGGCTCCAGTCCTGACCCGGCGCGGTGCCCAGTGGTGACTCAGAGGGCAGAGGCTGTCCCCACCCAAAATCTCAGCACAATTCATTCCATTACTCAGGAGAGCCATCCAGAAATAGCCCATTACTAATCCAGAGCTGGTGTGCAGAGGCGAGCAGGGCAAGGAGGCTGAAGAGCTGTGAGCCTGAGGGGTCGGCTGGGTGCCCCAGTCCTGCCCTGGACCCAGCAGCTGGCATAGCACCAGCACCAGATGCCAGCAGCTCTCTCTTCCAGGAGAGATGAGCTGCTTTGCCAGGGGATGCTCTTGGTGCTCAGCAGGATGAGGCTAAACCCTGGGATGAGGATTCTGTTTGCACTGTTGCCAGATTATGAGCAGATAAAAAGAGTGGAAAACATGAAGACAAATTCCATGAAGACAAACAGGACAATCCCAAGTACAAATGCAGAAGAGTTAAGTGGGAGCAGCCCTGAGAGGAAGGACTTGGTGGTGCTGGTGGATGAGAAGCTCAGCATGACACAGCAACGCCCCCGTGTGCAGGGCTGCAAGGGAGGGGGGAGCCAAGCACCCCAAAATACAGCCAGCACTGCCCAGCCACGCTGGCATCCCACACTGGCAGCTCCTGGGTGTGAGCAGCACCCGCAGGGCCCCGCTGGAGATGCCTCCTGCTCATCCATGGAGAAAACAAAAGGGAGCAGCAGCTGTGTGCCAGCGTTTCCCACTGCCCAGCCCCACAGGGCTCCCGTGCCCATCCCTGCACCTGCTGTGCAGCCAGGCTGGGCCCCACTGGGAGCTCTGTGGGTTTAATCTGTGCCACCACTGCCAGCACCAGCCAAATCCTGAGCAGGCGTCTCCTTCACTCACCAAAAAGCTGCAACACGACCCCAGATTGCCCTGTTCTACTTTCCAAGCAACTATTCTAAGGCCATCACCATAAAATCGGCCAGGCTGCGGGGCAGCCCTTGTGTTGCTGGTCTCTCACAGCTTTGTGCAGTTCCTGCTGAGCAGGATATAGGGAATTCCTCTGGCAGCAGGATGTGTCCATCATCCAGTGTCTGCTAAGGGGACTCGGGAATAGCAGAGAAAGATGTGAATGCTTTGAAGGACTCCAACCAGGGACAGAAATCTTTCAATGAACCTCCTTGGCCAGACTCGACTTCCTAGAGGTAACAGAGGGGTTTTGTTCTAAAGCAGAAATTCCCAAGCACTGCTGAGGGCCCCACCCTGGTCAGACCGGTCACGCCAGGGATCACAGCCCTGGCCAGAGGCACAGCTCTGAATTCTGGGCAGGGCTGGGGGGAGAGAGCTGTGCTGGGAGCAGCCCCTTGGCAGGGACACCCCCGCAGGATACCCCCAGTGCTGTGGGGAAGTTCCACTGCAGAAATGCTTTCAGCAGGTTGGACTCACTGGTACAATGATAAAACAAGTAAACTTCCAAATTAAAGCCCCACAGGAATGCCCACTGTGGGGAATTTCATTTGCTGAGACACCTAAGCCATGGCCAAGGTAGTACAGGACAAGTGTCTCAGCCACTGCTGCAAGCACCAGAGGGACTCTTACTACAGAATCATGGAATCATTAAGGTTGAAAGGCAGAAAAAATTTCCAAAAAGGGCTGGAAGCAAACAGTCATGCTAAGGGGAAGTGCAATGGGCAGGGCAGAGCGTGGGCTCCTGGATACAGACCTGCTATAGATATAGACCTGCTATATCCAAACAAGTGATTGTCAAAATAGGAGCTCAGCCCAGTGCTCAAGTTTAGACCTCACCCATTTTTTTGGGCATATTCTTTGGGCACAGCCAAGCAGGCTGGGCTTAACACACACTCCAGTGGCAAAGGGCAACTGTCCAGACCCAGACCCAGAGCAAAGTGACCAGGCTGGCTCATTTTCATTGCTAAATCCCACAAAAAACATCCACAAGCAAAACAGAGAAAGGAACTTGGAACAGCAGAATTTGAAAGCCTAAACAAAGCTCAAACCACAAGTGTTTGAGCACTGAGGGAGAAGCTGCCTGCCCTTACCTCCTTTTCCAAAGGACATCATGCCATGTTCTTATTTTACCTCCTGCAGTAGTGACAGCCTTCCCAGCCTCACGGTAGCCAAGTGTCTTGCTGAAAGCTCCAAATGACACGCCACAATCTCAGCAGATGCCTGTGCTTGGGCAACGCCTGCCTGCCCCAGCGCCGATCAACATTTGCTAATACAACTCCTTCTTTTCATGTCAATGCACCTCTCCCGTGCAAACGGCAAGGTGGGAGCTGAGCCTGGGTAAACACTCCTGAGAACCTGTTGGAAGACAGTGACTTGGCTTATTTTCCACTTACACGTTTCCCCAGAGAAGCTGTAGCTGTCAGGAGTCTGGATGCAAGGGAAAATCCACAAAATCTCATGCAGTCTCTACCTGAGCTGAGGAGGAGGAGGAGCAGCTGGACATAAACTGAAACTGCTTGGACACCAAAAGCACTTAGCAAAATAGAAACAAAATGCAACTGGTCCCCATGACACACAGCCAGCCAATCCTGCAGCTCCAGTCTCCAGTTTCCCCTGGAACCCTTTCCCAGGGATGTCAGCCTGGGGGCTCAGCCCGGCCCCTGCTGCCAGCCCCCCAGGTGGATGCAGCCCCAGGATCACACAGGGATCTCACTCCCGTTCTCTGGGGCTGCTGAGAGGCTGGGCTGGGTTTAGGTGCCAGTCCCCCACGCAGATGCAGCCCAGGGATCTCACTCCCGTTCTCTGGGGCTGCTGAGAGGCTGGGCTGGGTTTAGGTCCCAGTCCCCCATGCAGATGCAGCCCAGGGATCTCACTCCCGTTCTCCGGGGCTGCTGAGAGGCTGGGCTGGGTTTAGGGAGGCTGGCGGCCACTGAGAGACTTGGCTGCCAGACTGCTAGCACTGGAAAAGGCCACGCAGTCATGCTTTTGGAATGCTCCCCTGCTCCTAAGACATTACACAATTATTTCCCCTCCCCACAAACCCCCCTAATATAAATGTTTAAGAATGAGCTCAGCAGTAAGGAAAGGGAACTTTTTTCCCTCTTTCTGAAGAAAACACAGAGTGGCCACTCCATGGGCAAGGCTGTACATGGGGACACTGCTGGAGTGGGGGTTGTGGGGAGGGATGTGGGATGGGGCAGCAGCCCCCAGGCTCTCACCCCCGGTCAGACCCTGCCTGGGAGACAACTGCAAGCAGGGACCCACAGCCCAAGGCCACCTCAAGGAATGACAGCCTGCCCTGACTGAGGCAGAGCTGACCCATCCCTCACCACACCCAGGGACCCCCTCCCCAGCCTAGGCACACCCACCGCACCCTGTCCCGCTGCACCCCACCCAGCAGCCCTGCCGGGCCACCCACCCCTGCACCGACCCCACCTCTGAGCCCACCCCTTACCAGAATCGGCAACCCCAGGTCTCAATCCCTCCAAACCCCACGAGTACACCCTGATCCCAGCTCCCCCAAGCCCCACCGGTAGCCACAAAGCCCTGTTTCTCCAGACTCCGCCAGTAACTCAGACCCCATCACAACCGGTAATGCAGACCTCAGTTCCCCCAGACCCCCGCTCCGGCCCCACTCCTTACCAGCACCCCCCACCCCACCAGTGTCCCCCTCCCCAGCCGCCCCTCCCCGCTCGGCTCCCCCAGACCCCGCACCTCTCTCCGCGCTGCCCCGTCCCGCTCCGGCTCCGGCTCCGGCTCCGGCTCCGGCTCCGTCCCCGCGCGGCTCCGGGCACCGCCCCGGCCGGGGCCGCCCGCCGAGGGCGGAGCGGGGCCGTGCCGAGCCGAGCGGGGCCGTGCCGTGATGGGCTGTGCCGTGATGGGCTGTGCCGTGATGGGCTGTGCCGTGATGAGCTCTGCCGAGCCGAACGGGGCTGTGCCGTGATGGGCTGTGCCGAGCCGAGCGGGGCCGTGCCGTGATGGGCCGTGCCGTGATGGGCTGTGCCGTGATGGGCTGTGCCGTGATGGGCTCTGCCGAGCGGGGCCGTGCCGAGCGGGGCTGTGCCGTGATGGGCTGTGCCGAGCCGTGCGTGGCTGTGCTGTGCCGAGCCGAGCCGAGCCCTTTCCAGCGCTGCCCCTGCCCGGCTCCGGGACCCGGAGCCCCCCGGTGTTTCCCCCGGCGCCCGCGGGCGTCCCCCCCGCCCCGAGGGCGTTTTACCGGCTCAGGTTCCCGAGGCCAAGTGGGCAGAGGGCGACCCCAGCCGCCGGAGGGGCTGAGCTGCTGCCCTCAACCCCCCGTGCCAGGTCAGGCCGGCGGCAAAGCCCGCTGCCCACTGACACAGGCGGCCGAGGACGCGCCTTGTCCCCAGGGTCCCCTCCCAGGGCACTGGCAGAGCGGGGCTGTGCCCGGCTGTGCCCGCATGAGCGTGACCCCGGTGCCCCTGGTGTGCCCCGGCTCCCCGTGCCCACCGTGGGACCCCAGGCGGCTGCTCCCGCCGGCGTCCGGCTGCAGGGCACAGCTCCCGTCCCTCCGCCGGGGAAAGGCAGCCCCAGGAGCCTGGCCCAGACCCAGGCTCATAAACCGCTGCTATTTTAAGGGCTTGCAGACTATTTTTCTTTATTTATCAAGCCCCAGGCCAGGAGCTGGTTCCAAAGGAAATGTTTCTTTAGTAAAAAAGGGAACCACAGAGGAAGCTTTAAATGCAGCAGCCACTGCCTCCTTGTCTTATCCAACAGCCGGGCAGTGACCTGGAAAAGCAGAGCCGGTTCTCAGCCACCAGCATGAAAAGGAATGTGCCAGGAACAGGGCTGGGCAAGCAAGTGTGAAGAGAGCATCAGGAGTACCAGGGGTACCAGGTGGCCCTCGGAGGGACGTGGGGATGTTTCCAGCAGGCAGCCCGCCCTCGAGGCAGAAGCAGCTGCTGCTTGAACTGCCGGGGAGGGACAGGCACATTCCTCAGCCTGCCCCCTGCCTCCCCCGCAGCCAGCAAAACCATTGGCCTTTTCCCATTCCGTGTGTGGTGCTCCTGTTCCCACAGGACTGGGCATTCTGCTGCCTCCCAGCCAGAGCCGGGGTCCGGGTCCCCCTGAGCACCGTGCTGACACTGGCAGCACACCAGTGCCTCCCACTGCCTGCTGGACGGGCGCTGCATGGGCTCTGAGCAGCGCCAGGGGCAGATGGACAGCGGCACACATGGCTCTGCCTGTTTGCCTGCCTACATGCATTAATCAGAGCTAATTGGCTTTTCGGTAAGCCGTCTTTGCAGGAGCTCTGCAAAGAAAGACTTTGAAGTAGGACTGCGAGTGGCAAAATCTTTATTTAAACACACAGTGCTACAGAAGGACAGGCTCCCAGCCCCAGCACCGCTCCCTGCAGCAGGGGTGCCAACAGGTTCAAATCTCGTGTGTAGCTTTCACTTTCCATTGTGTGCACCCAGTTTATTTACATCTCGCTGGTTACAGGACACAAACAACATTCACTAGAGGTGACACTTGACAAGAGCTGGCTGCACCCAGTGACAGGATGGTGCCATGGAGCCTTTCCCAAGCAAGGGACCATGGCCCAGCTCTCCCCATCCCCACACTGCCAGGATGGGACAATCCCTCACAGTTCAGGACTCTGCAGAGGTCTGGGAAATGGATGCTCCAGGTTAGAGACGTGTGTGATGCAAAAATCCGGTGCAGAGATCAAGTGCTCAGCTCCCCTCTGCACCAGTTCTGAGACCGTGAAGGAAAACATGGGAGCTGTCTTTCCCTGCCCTGGTCACACCAAGCTGCTTTTACTGTGGGTTCCCAGCCCTGGGCTAAGCAGATCCAGTGCAGTTAAGCTGTTAAGCTCACCTGAATAGGGCTGCTCTGTGTGAGGCTGCTAACCCAGAACCACTCCAAAAAATAGACCTACATTCATAGGCTCCCCACACCAAGAAAGGATTCAGACATTTTCCAGCTCAGCTCTCCAGTTAATAAATAATTGGCTCCAGAAGCACTGCAGTGAGCCAAGGCGTGAGAGGACAGGGGTAGAACCTGTGGCACAGCCAGTGCTGGTGCAATTGCTTATCCCTGCTCAGGGCTCTGGGTGCACAGCAGGGCTTGGTCACTGCTCCAATCTCCCAGCCTGGAGACTGAGGCAAAGTCCATGACAAAATGAAGGTGTGAGGGGCTGAAAATTGGGAGCACAAGGCTGGGATGGCCATTGTGGGGCCACAACTGGACTTGTGCCAGGCTTAGCACTGCCCAGCTGCCTGTGGGGCTTTCACATCCCATCTGAGCCCCAGCTCCCACCTGCAACAGCAGCTTCAGTGTCACTGGCCAGAGCGTCCCAGGGCAGGAGACAGGGGGTGACTGCAGCAGGTATGAGTGCCCCAGCAGCCCCATGGCTGTCACACAGGGCTGCAGACAGCACAGCCATGGCAAGAGGCAAAGGACATGCTGAGGAGCCAAGGAGCCTTCAGGTTTTTCACAGCATTGAGAAAGTAGCAGCATGAAGACATCCCTCAACCCCAGTGTTCACACTCTATCCAAGGCCTCACCATCTCCACCTGGGACTGGGATGCAAGCACGTGGAGGGGGAAGCTCTGGACAGGAGCACAGACTGAAGCTCCAGGTTTCTTGCTCTTCTTGCAGCTGGCTCAAAAACAAGTGCTTAGAGGAGATGTGGCCCTGAGGCAGCCTCAGTGTCCCACTGCACGGTGTCTCCATCCCCTGGTGAGCTGCCCCAGGCTCATTCAGCATCACGTGTAGTTGCCGGGGCCACCCAGGGGGATCACAAAAACAGAGATGTCATCACCAGAGCCCAGCTTGTCATTGGCCAGGCGCCAGCCACGCTCCTTCAGCACCCCCCGTGAGCGCACCACCAGCTCCTGGGCCACCATGGTGTACCTGGGGGCACAGCAGAGCACGGCTCAGCAGTGACCCCAGAGCCTCATGCAGCATCCTGGCAAGGAGGGAGAAGCTGGAGCTGCTGGAAGGGGTCCCATGGAGAGATGCAGGCTCAGATATGCACATCCAGGGGAGCAATGCACTCTGTGGAGCCCGGAGGGACGTGTGGCCACAGCACTGCTCCGAGGAGCCAGGCCAAGGGGAGGGGTGGAGTGCACGGCATGCCCGGCCCCCTGCCCACCTGCAGCTCACCTGCACGGGTCGTTGGGCTCATAGTTGGTCAGCACCTCCATCACCACACCAGCCACCTCCTTGTCGTTGGTGACATCCCAGAGCCCATCGGTGCCCAGCACCAGGACATCGTCAGGGCAGTGCTCGTACTGCGTCAGGTCATAAACCCTGACCTGGCAGGGCAAGACACGAGGGTGAGAGGCAGAGGGGCGGAGGAGGCTCCTGCTGCCCTGGCCATATCATGGATCTGGGCCTGCTGAGTGGCTCTGGCCATTGCAGGGGCCCCTGGGTGGAAGCTGCTGGCAGCCAGGCTTACCTCTGGGAAGCAGGACAGGAAAGGCTTGATGTGGATGTTGGAGTTGAACACCTTGAGATCATGGTCTCCCAGGCCTCTTGTGACCCCGATCGTGGCCATCATCCGAGCCTGGAGAAGAGTGGAATCAAAAGAGAACTTTAGGCAGCTTTATTTCCAGTTACATTCCCAGCAGAGACTCAGTGATGACAGCACTACCAAAAATGGGCTGAAATCCCCCAAAACAGTGAGAGCAGGCACGAAACAAGCCCTGCCAAACTTCTGCCACAGTACTTTACCTTTTTGCCTTCCCCAAAGATAAGTGGAAACTTCAGGTCATCCTCTTCTATCTTTTTGTAAGCCCTGGTTAAAATAAGCCAAAGTGTCAGCAGGTGAAGCTTCCAGCACCTCCTCTGCCCACCTGGGACCTGGGTGCCCAGTGTAGCAGAGCCCCTGCCCATGGGATGGGGTGCCAGAGACGAGCAGCCACCACAGCAGGACCCCAGTGCCACTGGTGGGTTGGGGGTTACCAGCCATTCATGTTCTGGTCCCTGTAGAGCATCTTCTTCCCCAGGTCCTTGGGCTGGATCCTGCGGGGGAACTCCAGGTGGGTGAACTCCTTCCCCAGCAGCTCGGGCCTTAGCAGTGCCTGCAGGAAGGAGTGTTGGCTCAGCCACGGGGTGGGGGAGCAGAGCTGTGGATCCAGCCCTGCCCAGAGCAGGATCCACCATCCGCTGGGACTTTGGCTACAACATCCCGTGGTGGGATAACCTCGGCTGCTCTGCAGCCACTTGAATGGGTGCTGGTAAAGCAGCTTCAAACCATCCACCTGTGCTAAGCCAGAGGGGAAACTGGAGCTGAGGACAGCCATGCCAGCACTCAGCAAGAAGGTGAAGCTTTTGCATAGAGAGTTTTGGGAAAGAAAGGTCTCCAAAGGGGATCAAAAAATCAAACCCCAGCAAATTCCAGGAGAAGCTGGAATTTGCTCAGAAGGAGTCATAGCTGCAAACTTCCCAGGATCCCAGGGTCAGTGCAGGGCATGGCACTCACCCCAGGAAAAGAGTGATGGAACCAGGAACAGGGAGTGCTGGGAAATGCTGAAGGGGAAGAAAAGCAGGAAGAGAAGAGGAGATCCCTCGGGAAGATGGGATGGCAGGGGATGGGGGCAGAGGCATGGAGACCCCCAGCCCTCTCTGGGGGAGCCCTGACCACAGCCTCAGCATCACGCGGCAGAGCAGCCTGTGCCCGTCCCCAGGCTGTGCCCTGCCCCTCGCAGCCAGATGGGGAGGATTCTGATCACAGCAGGTCCCTCCTCTCGGTCATTCAAAAACAGATTCCAGAAAAAACGCCTCAGTGTTTTTCCAAGTACATTGCAAGCCAGGAAATTTCATCCAGCAAGACCTTCTCCAACACAAACTCCTCCTCCCCTGTGCTGCCCTCAGAGAGGTCTTTAAAACCTTAAAGAGTCTCCCTGGGTGGCACCAGGGGGTTCATCCAGGAGAGGGACAGGAGCTTTCAGGGCCAAAGACAGAAACCCTTTGGCACACATCAGCTGTGACTATCCAGGGAGCAGCCAGGGAAGAAAGTAGGACTGAGCAGGAGCACTGCAGCTCCTCTGACACAGCAAACCAGGGCTCTGCCAGCCACAAGATGCCCCCATGCCAGCTCCCTGCATCCCAGGGCCTCTTCCCATCCCAGGAAGCAGTCTGGGATGGACAAGTGCCAGCAGCAGGTCCCAGCCATGGGGCTGCCCTCGGGTGCAGACCCCCACCATGGCAGCAGTCCAGCAGGCAGCACAGGGGACTGGGAAGAGGCCAGGAGGTGTTTCAGCAGGAATGAGGTTAGAAGAAAGGTCTTTCTTACTAAAAACTGCAGCCTCTGCCTCTCTGTCTCTGGAGTAAACTCCCTGGACATTGGAATGATTTCCCCATTACGGATGATAATGGCCCTGCAATGAAACATGGAAGGATGAGATTAGAGAGAAGGAGACTTGGTGGAGGAGCTGAGTCTGGCTCTCCAGGGCTGATTCCCAGGAGTGGTGCAACCCCTTCCCCTCTGCTGCCCCCCCTTTCCCAGCCTGAGGTGGGGGCTGCTTCCTGGATTCACTGCTGCCCCTGGGCAGGGCATGGCATCTCTCCCTCCTGGACAGGGAGGAAGGGGAAATGGGAGAGAAACACGGGGCAGAGGGGAATGAACAGACCAAATAAAAGGACAGAATATGGTTAGAAAAGGAGCAGCACAAAGGCTCCCTTCAGAGGGGAGCTGCACACAGCAGGGGCAGAAATTGCCTGCAGCAGGAGACAGGTACACGTGCCCATCCCACACCAGCACTGCCACTTGCTGCTGGGTCTGCTCTTACAGTTTAATGTCTCAAGAAAACATAAAGGTCTGATTATGAGATGTTTCTGGATGTCATGGTAGGCCCAAGGATCTCCGACACTGGTGGCTGCGAGTCTCCTGCAATGATGTAGGGCCAGGCTGGGCTCAGCTCTGGCAGTGTCTGATGCCTGGGAAGGCAGCTCAGGCTGTTCCCCAGAGGCACAGCACAACCTCAGGACCCTGTGCATGCTGACATCCTGCATGGCTGGTGCCTGGCTGCTGCTGCCATGGAGGGGGACCTGCACCCAGAACGAGGGATCTCCTCCTTCTCTGCCCAGAGCTGGAAGCACATCCAGCCTCAGAAAATTGACCAGAGCCTGTATTTGCTGGTCTGACATTGCTGAGGACAAGGTAACCTGCAGTAAATACCCAGAGCAACTGTAGCTGCCCCGTTCTTGGAAACGTTCAAGGCCAGGTCAGACAGGGCTTGGGACAACCTGGTCCAGTGGAAGGTGTCTGAAATGGCAGGGGGTGGAACAAGATAAGCTTTAAGGTCCTTGCCTACCCAAACCATTCTTTGATCCAGGGCAGTTCAAACCACCTTTAGTGTCAGGTGGACCTTCTGCCATTGCTTGGGGCTGTGGGCACACTCAGGTGCAGTCAGAGTAGCCCAGCCTGGAAATACACATGGCAATTAAAGTGCTTGGGCTACAAGGTACCACTGCACACAGATTTGTGTCCTTCTCCTGAAACAGGTCACTGGTATGAAGAGTACTCTAAAATAACTTCTTGCACGTTTTGGAAAGCTTGACTGAGTGCAATTTTCACTCTCCAACCTGCAGCCCAGGCCAGTGCCAGCAGCAGGGGCCAGGATCTCCAGAGCCATCTGGGCAGCAGAGAAGATGTTGTTAGGAAAGAAGGGAGCACATCCCAGATTTTGGGAGGCAATTCTACAGCCTTATCTGTGTACCTGGCAAACACAGAGATCACAGCAGAGCACATTGTCCCCAGGGCATGGAGCAGGCAGAGGATGACTGCCCAGTTCTGCCACCTCCACCCTCCCCTGGACAGGGATGGAGCTGGGTGTTCCTCACCAGCATCCCTCCAGCACCACCCCACTCTCCTGGGGTGTCCCCAGTCCCTGAGCAGAGCTGAGGGCTGCCCTGAGGGCTGTACCTGCTGTCACCAGCGTTGGCCACGTAGAACTTGCCCATGAGGTAGATGGCAGCCAGGGCACAGCAGCCCCCTGGCAGGTGCTGGGACGCCCGCTCCCGCCTGATCTGCTCGTCCTGGGGAGACAGAGAGGGTAAGGGGCAGCCCCAGAGAGCGCCTGATACCACAGCTCCAGCTGGGAAGCAGTGACCAGCCAGGGCACCTTTCCCCACACTGCCATGGAGTGGCTGTAGAGCTTGTGGGGCTTGTGGGGCAGCCAGGGATGTGGCTTCACTGGGGCAGGGAAGAGAAAGACTGGAGGGGAGCAGCTGGGCCTCTTGGGACAAAGTGTAGGGGAGCCTTCTGCACCACACAGGCCTGGAGCCCAAAGCCTCTGCATCCTGAAAGCTCAAAATGCAGAGCACCACAGAGACCACCATGCTTGGAGCCCTCCCTGCAGTCCCCAGAGCTGCCTTTCACCAGTGGGCTCAAGCTGATGCAGACACAGACAGCAAAGAGGGGCTCTCAGGGGATGCTCTAGATGATCCCACAGGCAGAGGATCCTCACCATGTGCTTGAAGGCATTCTCAATGGCACCAATCACCAGGCTCTCATGGGACACTGCTTTCTCCAGGTGAAACCGTGGCACAGCATCGTTCGGGACCTCCCCACGATCCTCTTCATTGGACATCTGGTTTGGGTCTGCAGAACCGGTCTGTGTGTCGTGTGGGAGGCAGATGGGAGGCGGGGAGGGGTCCTGCAGGATCTCCACGAGCTCCCGGAGCTGCTCACAGATGTGCAGGTGGAGCCTCTCGGAGGCCATGACAGCAGCACCGCTGCCTGCATGGCCATCAAACAACGCCCAGTAGTGGAAATAAAAACCTTTCCTGCCCTGCAGGGAGAAGAGGGAAAGCTAAATGAGCCTGCAAGGAAGCAGATGGCACGGGGAATTCAGAGCAGCTGGCTACCAGCTGAGGACAGTGACACGAGTCTCGCAGGTCTCAGTGCAGGCAGGAGCAGTGTGGGCAGCTGACCAAGGGTGCCTGGACACAGCTGAGCCCTGGCTGGAGCCCAGCCCTGCGTCAGACACCTCGTGCCCTTGGAGGCACCACAGTGCCAGCACAGCAGCCACCTCTGCTGCCCACCAGGGCACGTGGGCCACGGCTCTGCCTGGGGCAGCCCTGGTGTAGTCACACGGGGATGGACGATGGTGGGAGCAGGCAGAGAGAAGGGCCATGAACCAAGGGAATCCCCAGGGTGCACACATTGCCAAGTGTCCCATCTCATGCCCTGCTGCTGGGCATCGTCCCTGTCATGTCCCTGCTTGTGAACCACCAGGCTCTCACCCCATCCAGCTCCCCGCTGCCTTCCCTGGACGACAGGCAGCCCCTGGGGCTGGGCCTCTGCTCCACAAACACCACCTCACAGCATGCCTGGTCCTCGTTGTGCTGGCTCTTCCCTGCATTTATCACCCTGCCAGGAGGAAAAAAGGTGTAAAGACCCTTTCTTTCACATCATGTTCCAGAAAATGCCATCCCCCAGCACCTCTTCCCCCCACCCCTCCACTCATGCCCCCGTGCCCCCAGAGATGCCAGGGATGCCCTGCACAGGTGCTCCTGTCCTGTCCCAGGTGTCTCAGACCAGTTGTGTGGGCTGAACTGGGGCCAGGAGCAGCACTGAGTCCCACCCACAGCTGGGTCCAGGGCGGAGCAGCTGTCCACACACCTACCAGGGAAGGTGACCAGAAATAAACTGGGTTTGCTGAAAGTCCCTAGCACTGCCCCAGGCAGAATAATTGCCCCAAAGCCTGTACCAACCTCAGATATGCACTCCTGGGACACACAGAGAGAATCAGAGCCTCACCCATGTCCCATCACCTCTTGAGGGGAGCAGGGGGCTCAGGGAAGGAGGGGAGAAGGTGATGGTGATGAAACCGACAGAACTTTTGCAAAAAGATTCACAGTGACTTTTCCCAGCTGGTGCTGACACAGCAGATTTCAGGTCTAGATTGCAGAACCTGCTCACAGGAAGAAGCTGTAAACACAGCAGGGTGATTTTTCTTCAGGCAGACTTCCCAAGTGGTTTGCAGAAAGAACTCTTGGGACACTGAAAAAAGGGACTTTTTCACTCTGGGTGCTCCTACCCCACTATCTCCGAGGGAAAATCAATATCCCATAGAGCTCTCTAGGATATCGAGAAGATCAGCTTGAGGAAAGGATTGTGGGAGTGGGCTGACAGCAATAAGCAGCAAAAGCCTTCAAAGTCTGACCTTCCCCCCCCGGTTAGGACTGAAACTCGCAGCTAGTGAAAGAAGAAGACAGTCAGGTCCTTGAAGGGGAAGTCTCAAGTAGTCTCACTCCCAAGAAATCCCCAGCTCCCTGCTCCCCACGAGTCCTGCCAGAGGCGCCGCAGCTTCCTCGCCCTCGGTACCCATGGGTGACAGCGGGTGTCGTGCAGAAAGCGAAGAAAACAAAACGGGCAGAAGAACCTAAACCCCTCGGGGATCGGTAAGAGCACAGCCCCGGGCTGCCGCTCTCCCATCACGGGCACCCACAGCGCCCGCTCCTCGCTGCTGCTGCTGCCGCTGCTGCTGGAAGAGGGACAGCCGCAGCTCACCGCCCGCCGCGACCCACTTTCGTGCCCGAGCTTCCGTGCCGAGCGGTGCCACCCCGCCCTCCCCAGGCTGCACACGCCGCTCCCGGCCCCGCTCACTCTGCGTATCCCGTGCTCCAGGGCAGCCGGCGGCGCCCGTCGCGGGGGCTCTGCACCGCCCGCCCGGTGTGGTCGTCGGCGCGGCGCAGCTCCTCGGGAGTCAGCTGCAGGAAGGCCGGCCGGCAGAACGCGGCTGGCGGCGGCGATTCCCGGCCGGCCCCGGGCCCGCCGCCCCGCGGTTCTGCGGGGAGCTGCGCGCCCGGCCCCGCGCCCAGCCCCGCCGTCAGCTGCGCCACGGCAGCGCGCACCCGCAGCAGCATCCCGAGCCGGGCCGAGCGGAGCCGAGCGGAGCCGGGCCGAGCGGAGCCGAGCCGGGCCGAGCGGAGCCAAGCCGGGCCGAGCGGAGCCGAGTCGAGCCGAGCCGAGCCGAGCCGAGCCGAGCCGAGCCGAGCCGGGCCGAGCCGAGCCGAGCCGAGCCGAGCCGAGCCGAGCCCGCCGCCCCGCCCCGCCTCCCCCCCGCCGCGGTACGGGGGGGGAAGCAGGCGCGGCAGCTCAGCCGCAGCGGGGACGCGCATCTCCCGCAGCCGGCGGGGAACGAGCCCTCCCGGGTGATGAACTCCCCGCCGTTATCCCGCAGCCCGGTGCAGGTGGAGCTCTCCCGGAGACGGACCCGGCGCCCAGCCGGGAGCCCCGGGGACTCGAGCCATCCCGGCGCAGGAAATGCCCTGGGAAAGTCTTTTCCCGGCTGGAGGTGGGGCTGCGCGGGGACCGGCTGGCCCTGTCCACGCGTTTTGCCCACAGGTGAGTTTCCTGACTGGATCGTCCCAAGATTCCAGCAGAGCCACCTGCTCCGGGACAACGTCCCCGTCCAGCGCCGGGCGCTCTGTCACCCCTGTCGCGCTCATCAGCCCACGCGCGGCCATCCCGGGCTATTAATAACCTGCGGAGCAGCAGGGACGCACCGTGAGAGGGCTGAAAGCTGAACCTCTCCCTCCCTTTCACCCAGGATGCTGCGCTCCAGCGTGAGCAGGATGCGGATTTAGCTGATGCAGAACAACACATCCTCCCTGGCTGGGAGGGGAAGAGTCGCCAGCTTAAACACCATCGCTTGCACAGCCTGACCTTAGCACCTCCCTGCCTCCTGTGACAGCAAAAAAAAAAAAAAAAAAAGATGAAAAAAAGAATACTTGCCTACTGTAAAGGAAAATTGAGGCTGTTTCTTAAAATTCCTGTGCCCCAGTGCCTCAGTTTCACAGAGGAACCTCTGATTCCTGTCAACACGGGGCTTTTGCATTGTAAGTTACAAACAGAAGCAGCACTGAGAAGCCCTCCAGGCTTTAGCCATCTTCAGCCAGAGATCTTCAAACTGTACCAGATTATTAGGATCACAGTACAGAAGTGACTCAGTGGTACCTGTATTGCCACCTTCTCATCCCACGATTTAAGGTCTTCAGAACACTTTAAAGCTCTTTCAGTACCCTTCAGGATCTGGTCTAATGAGCAGCATCCCTGCCCACGGTGGGGTTTGGAACCAGGTTATCTTTAAGGTCCCTTCTGGGGGAGTTAAGGACCCTTCTGGATCTTTAAGGTCCCTTCCAAACCAACCCTTCCAGCCCGATGCCAACACCCCTCCAGTTCCTCTCCAGCATTCATGGCTCCTCTCCTCGGCTCCTGATGCCTTCCCCTCACAGCATCCCTGCCCAGCTGCTGGTCATGCGTGGGGTGCTCTTAGCTATTGAGTGCAATATCACCGTGTTATTAAGGCTGAAAATCACTGGATTCTCCAGGGAATGTGTCTGCCTGCTGTGGGACTGCCAATCTGCCCCATACTGCTGAGTCACCAGGACGCTTTCCTTGGGAAGAATGAATTGGCAGTTCCCAGACTGACTTCTGTGACCCTGCTTGGTATTTGTTGTTTCCGTTATGTGGAGCACAGCATGGAAAGAATGGTCTGACAAATAAACACGTTCCTGCAGGAATGCTCCCTGAAACAATGCAGTGTTAAAGACTGTTTTCCAAGAAAGAGGGCTCCATTTCCCCCTATTCATCCTGCCAGACAGATCCATGTAAAATTTTCCCCTTATCTGCAGGCTGATGTTCCTCTTCACAAGGCTGCCTGGCACAAGGCCTGGGGATGCAGATGTTGTAGACTGAGTCAGACTAATGCCAATAAACAGCCACTTCAGGTGCCAGCAGCTCTGCCCTTCACTCTTCCCACCCCTCTGGGGGTCCTGCCTGGGGTGTTCATGCTTTCCCTGTCTCCCCATCTCACCCAAAGCTACCCCTGAGCATGGGGGTGTCAGGTCCTCACCTTCCCTGGACACAGCTTCAGGTGGAGCACTCCAGCATACTGCCATGATAAACAGTGATTTAAAAATCAGTAACACAGGAATTGGTCTTAAATTGTGCTATTTTAGTTAATTTCTCATGCAACTGCTTAGCATCAAAAAAGCCTTTCTAAGTTTCATCTTTCATCTATGTTGCTGAGCCCCAGAGGAGGTAGGATGGAGCCAGGGATATTTCTTTGTGAAAGAATGACATGTTGGTTGCATTTAAGCCAGAATAGAAGTAAATTAAACATCTAGATCATAAAAGTACCAGAGGATGTTTTAAAACAGGCTCTTTGCAGCACTGCATTAGTTGACTGTAGAGCCTGACTGTGTAATGAGTAATATATTAATTTATAATTAGCATAGTACAGTGAAGCTCAGCAAATAGCTCTGTGCACTCTGGATAATTCATCAACAGAAGAAATGGTTCTTAATGGTTTCCAAGGTTTGTATGTCCCCTGTAATTGGGAAGTTCAGCATTTATTGTTATTTCTTTGAAGGGATAATTTGATTGTAACCACACATCTTTATTCCCTCTCTGTTTCTGCGGGAGTGCAGAGAAGCCTTTGGAGCGTTGCTGCTTTGGGTATCTCTGTGACCTCTCTGCAGGTGAGTACATCATTGTTTTGCAGTGCAGATGACCTGGATTTGGTGCAGATTCTCAGAGGGTTTTACCCTTTCCCTCCTGCAGAGGGGAGGGGGGCACATTAACCTCCTTGGGTCACTTGGCTTTTCCTCCTCTGCAGCTTCAAAATCTTCCATACAATTTTCATATCTCTCAAGGGATCTTCATTCACAATTCTGCTCTCAAAGTCTTCAGGAGCCTCCTGGTCTCATTTAATATTACCCTGACAGTAGAAATACAGAAGAAGAATAAGAAATGTATAACAGTAACACTTGCTGGAATTTACGGAGCCTTTGGGGGACTTAGTTTTTAATTTGGAAGCTCAGACCCACATTCCAGAGGATGCAGGGAGCAGGACCTCTCCCTGCTTTTGCAGCAGTGCCCAGAGATCCTCTCCCTGGACTGCTGTTTTGACAGGCTGGGAATCTGCACTGAAATCCCCTGTTGTCAGCAAAACCTTTTGAAAAGGGAACAAAATCCTCAAACAAAATGCTGGTACTCGGTGCTGAGACAGCCTGGAGGCACTGGGGCCTCATCAGATGAAGTAAATAAATAAACTTAAACTGAATTAAGATCATAATTCAGTGATCCACTGAAAACAGGGTGTGATAAATCTTCCCCAGGAATAAAATGTCAGGAATTCTGCTATTTCAGCTTTAATAAAATAATTTGTACCCTTCTGCCTATTAGCAGCTGCAGATAAGGTGATTGCACTGAGCATTTGAAGTCTTCTGACATGCGCATCTGCCTTTGCATGACCATTTGCCCCTAACCCTTCTTGTAGCCCAAGCCCCAATCCATGTGTTTTCGTCCTGAAAAAGAAAAAAAAGCTGGTTGCTCCCCTGGAAGGTACAGAAGGATTCCAGGCATGTGACAATTTTCTTACATGGGAGCAGGATTTATCACTAAGGATACATCAGGAAATGTTGCTAGGGTTTTCTTGGGCAGTTCCTTTCCTTTCCAAACTTGGCTTGTTATGGATACTGGAAACTTGGGTGCCCTCATCCAGTAAAGTACTGGGCTCCTTGAGGAGTCACAGCCAGGGAAGAGAGCAGGCTGAAGGCTGCTGCTGGACACTCAGGAAGAAGTCAGGATGATGATGAGAAGGAATTTCTGTGTTCACTTCCAGCTGAATTTAAATTAAACCAGTTTTACTGAAGTCTTAATTCCTCCCCTGCATTTTAATGCTGTGATCTGGAAAGCAACAAGTTTATATTTATGTATCATACATCAATAAAGAGCTAGAGTTTTGTATGCTTCCTTATTAAATAATCTGGCCTAATTTAATTGGAATTTGGCTGGTGTGGAAAATAGCTCTGATTTAATTTGCTCTTGATTGTTCCACTAAAACTTTGTGATCTGAAAGTAGTGTGTTTGTATTTACTTATCGCAGCACTAGAGACCTGCATTGGCAGGCTCTCGATCAAATTACCTGATGAATATAAACAGCAGATTTAATTTAGTTTCATATTGATTTTTGTCATTATTATTAAAACCCTCTGATCTGAAGAATGAGATGCTTGTATTTCCTTAATATCTTATTACTGGGGTTTGGGTTAATCTTGTAGAGCTTTTCCTTTTTCTTTTGAGTAACCAAGTCTAACTAATTGGAATTTTAACATACAGCAATTTTGACTCTATAAAGGGGGAAAAGGAGCTCAGTATCCTAGGGCAAAATAGCAAAGTAACCCAATCTTGTCAGGGGCTGGGGTACTCTTCCCTGGATACCTGTGTGCACTTTGGGGGTTGTGGGTGCCCCAGGAGCCAGTGGGTCAGCTCAGGACCTCTGCCTTGCCATCTGTCTGGTGCCCACGTGGCACTGGGCAGGGACCCTTTCCAAGGGCTGGTTTCTGGGGAAGGGAGAGGGCATGCACAAAGGCTTTGGGATCCCATGGAAAGCAAATGGCTGGGAGATTTGCAAACTGCCCACATGGGAGTTGTCTGAAGAGCTGCTGCTCACCTGTAACTCAGCTTGGCCTTGGAAATGATTCCACGCTTCCAGCTGAGCGGGAGGGTGGAAGGTCCAGGTGTAAGCAGTGAGCTGTCTTCAGAAACCAAAGGCTTTCATCGATGTGAAAATAGCTTTGAGCAAAGCAACAAAAATGAGTGCATGGAACTTCAGCCTCTCATCTCAGGTGTGCTGAGGTTGCAGGTCTAACTCTTGGCAACAACTGTGAAAATTCAACCTTTGCCCTTGCTGTTTGTTGGTGTTTTAAAGCCTGTTGCTGCCTGTTGCATGAGGAGCTACCCAAGCTCTGCCCTGGGGGCACCAGGAGAGGGATTCTGGACAAGCCTGGAGCTGCCTTGGGGAAAGAACTGGCCCAGGCTGTTGTGGTCCCTGGTGTTGGACTCCCCCGTGTCAGGGGAGTCTCCTGCAGAGCCCGACCCAGGCTGGTGATGCTGTTTCAGTTCCAGGAAAGCTGAGTTTTGGTGGTTTGACACCAAAGACAGGCTCGCATTTTGAGGAGAAGAGGGCTGCAGGAGTGGGTCTATCTGTCTGTCTGTCCATCCCCACACCATCCAGCACCCCTCTGTGCTCATGGATCCATCACACCTTTTTTGTCAGCGAAAATTAGCTTTTGGGTAAATTAGCTCTAACCAGGCTCATCCTTTGAGGAGGAGAATGCCAGGGCCAGTTATCAGGCTGGCTGTCCGTCCATCCATCCATCCCTGCACCGTTCCATATCCCTCGCAGCTCACGGGGCCATCACCCCCTCTTTGTTTTTTGGGGGGCGGGGGGGATGGAAAGGGGTTGTGTGTGTAAATAATTTTTCCCGTTAATTCTCTCTGCCTGTTCCTCCTCCCCGACAGCCTTGACGGGCACCGGGGCTGACCGGGGCGGGGCAGCGGCGAGCGGCTCGGTGCGCAGCCGGTGCCGGTGCCAGCCCGGGCTCGCGGGCCGGTCCCCGGGCGGCGGCAGCAGCAGCAGCAGCAGGCGGCGCTGCGCCCCTTCCCGCCGGCACCGGCTCCGCCGGGCTCCGCTCGGCTCCGCGCCCGCCGCCCCCGCCCAGCCCCGCGCCGCCGCCGCCGCCGCCCGGCGATGCCCGCGGCCCCCGGCGGCTGCGGCCCGCGGAGGCGGCGCTGACCCGGCGGAGCGGAGCGGCCCCGGCCATGGGCGGCGTCGGCCCCCGCCCGCCCCGAGGCCACCGGCAGGTACGTGCGGAAAGTTTGGCGGGGGGGAACGAGAGGGCGGCCCCGGCGCCGCTCCCGCCGCGGTGCCGAGCGCCGGCCCGGCGCCGCTCCGAGGGGACGCTGAGTCCCGCCGGGGAGCCGGGTCCGGAGCCGCCGGGATCGGTGTGCCGCTGGCACCGGGATGCCGGTCTCGGGCTCTGCCGTGGGGTCCGGCGCTCCCGGCTCCGCCCGGCCGCCGTGCGTCGCTTCTCGGTCCCCGCGTGTCCCGGTCCCCGCCGCCCGCCGGGGCTCCCCGGTGCCGCTGCGGGGCTCGGGAGGGCCCCTGCAGTGAGTTTAACGGGGCCGGCTCTGCCCTGCGCCCCGTTACGGTGACTCCGGCAGCAGCGGCGGCCGCGGTCCCTGCGGGCTGTGGGGGGATTCGGAGCCGGTGGGGCCCGGTCCGGCCCCAGCTCGGGGAGTGGGCTCGTCGCGGATGCTGTTTTGCCAGCGCTGCGAAGCTACCCGCCTCTCTGGGAGGCAAAGCGCTGCTGGAGAGATCCCAGATCCTGCAGCCAAGGATGCTCCGTTGCTCTGGAAGGGCAGTGGCACTGAGATCCAGCTGCCTCGTGGGGCGGCTCGAGGGGCACAGGATGGGTCAGATGGCCCCGTCACCACGAGCAGAGGCTCAGGGGCTCACAGGAGGGCATGAGCTGTACCAGTCCCATTCTGGAGTCATGAGTTTGTCCATGCCGTGTGTGCCAAGGCAGGGAAGCAGCAGTCTCCTGCTCGTCAGCCACCCCTTTTGCTGCAGAGGGCTTGGGGGGCTGCTCATTAGCCTCATTAGCACCAAATGCTGTGGGGAACTGGGCTGTGCTCCAGCAAGCTGTGGACCCTGGCTGGAGGGGCACAGTTCCACATGTGGCGTTAACGGAGGAGGAGGAAAAGGTCCATAGCTCCTGTGACAGGCAGAGTGGTCGTTGTCTGGGAGGGCAGCAGGGAGCTGCTCCTGTAGTGCGTCTGTGCTGAAGAACCTCGATGAGCTCCCATGTGGATGATGGCCCATGCCCACATGTGCCTACAGGGAGGGACGTGGACCCTCACAGAGGAGCCATCATCTCTTGGCACTCTGGTTGCAACTGAGATTGATAGTCTGAGTGATTGGGGAATTTGACAGTTCTTTCAGGTCCCAGCTCAGACCCAAAAGGCAAAAGCAGCTAAAAAATGTTTGTGAAAAAATCCACAAAATTCTGAACAGCACATAACAGAATGGAGAATACCAAGATCTTCAATCAAAATTAAGTGTTGTGACATGCCAGAACACCACTCTTCATTTCACTGACATTCCAGGCTGAAAAATCTCAAGTCAGACCAAACATTTGTAGTTGTAATCCCACGACACTGGAGGTTGATAACTGTCAAAACAGCAATTTCTGTGGAGCTGTGTTTTCTAATGGGAGTTTGGGCACGAGTGGGAGCTCTGAGTGCCTCTGCCAGCATGGAGCACTGGGATGCACTGTGTCCTCCTGCTCCCCTGGACCACATGTGCTCTCCTGGCCTCCAGCGTGGCTCCTGCTCAGCTCAGTGGTTTCCCTTCGGAGTATGGCATGGACAGTGTGGATTGCATTATTGATAACACTAATTTATTTATGCTTCCTTGGCTATAGCAAACAGCTCAGCCTTTCTGAGCTAAATATACCTTGCATTGGGAGCGTGTTGATGTCCTCTGTGGGATGGAGTGGCCAGTGGAACACTTGGTTTTTGGTCCAGCTGAGAGGTTTAGGAATGTCTCCTAGAAACTCACATGGCCTGGAGGGTCCCATGGGGATGGGCTCCTCCAGAAGGACTCTGTGTGTGCTGTGGGGCTCAGGCCTGGTGCCTGGGAGCTGGGCTGTGCTCCCTGCATGGAGCAGCAGCTGGAGCAGCAGCCAGGAAACCAGGGTCTCCTGATGGGGACCTGGCTGCTCTGCTGGAAGGTGCATGGGAGGTTTGTTGGCACTGGGGACTCACTGTTGTAAAAATCGCAGTAGCATTGTGTCGGATGTTCTCACACCTGGGCTGCCAGCTGTGCCCCATCATGGGCCAAGTCAGCTGGGACACAGCTCCTGCTGTGTGCAGCAGGGCTGGGCAGGGGCGGCCCCGGGTGTGGGGCAGGTGCCCCACTCCCTGCTGGATGCAGTGCTGTGGCACTGGCTGCCTCTGGATTCAGGTGAAGGACTGAGCAGCTCTGAGAGAGCTGTTTGCTTTGTCATTGAGCAAATAGTGCATGCTTGAAGCTGACATCTGTATTTACACAGGGGGCTGTCACCTCTCCAAAGGGACTCCAGCAGTACCAGCTGTTGTATGATCCCCCTCTGAGAAGCCTCATGCAGTCCCACCACATCACCCCGAGGAGCAATGGTTTTCTTGCACATTGAGCCACACTGGATTCCTCCTGGCAATGGAGGGGCTGGAGCAGGGGCAGCCCCTCATCACCCAGTGGGCAGGGATGGAGTCAGGACAGCAAGTGGGATGGTGCCAGACACTTCAGTCTGTTCCTAGCCAAGCTGACCATCCCACAGCATTAATTATAAGTATTTCCTTACCTCTAAATTCTTTTTTAGCATAAAATATGTGGTTTTGTCAATATACCTCTGGTTTCTTCCTGCGCAAATGTCAACACTTTTGATGACATTTTCTGATTTTTGTTTTCCAGATGGGAGAATCAAAGTGCAAAATATCACTTTAAATCACCAATTCAGAATGAAGCCTTTTTCATTTTGAAATGCCAGTTTAAAACAGGAAAATTCATTTTTAAATGCTTCCAAACAAGAAATGTCCTTTTTACCACTTCAAATCACTTCATTTTGATTAAAAATGTCAGCATACTGTGTCCTGGCTCTTCATTAGAGGAATCTGTGGTTTCACTGTCTCATGGTCCAGAGCAGATAGAACTTTCAAACATGGTTGAAAATTGAAGATTTCTTCTCTGAGAGGTGTGGGTTTGTCCAGTGCACTGCCCATGGAGGGGACTGTGGGTGCAAGGTTGGCACCGGGCAGGGGCACCCCTGGCACCTGCTGCTGGTCCCGGCAGCACTCCCCAGCCTCAGTGTCTTCACCACTTGTCTTTGTGGTATCTTGTTAGTAAGTTACGATCCAGCACTAAAATTTTATGGGGAACACAGTTGTTTGCTGGACCTGCTGAGACCCCAGCAGGTGATAATGGAGGCTGGGAGGTCACCATGCCACCTGGCAGCTGCCAAGCAGTGACATGGCTGTTGGTGCTGCTGCCTGCAGAGTGCCAGAGCTGTTCCCATCTGAAGGGCTGTAAATAGTGAAGAGAACATGTTTAAAGAACCCAGCAGTAAAATACAAAACCTTTTGGGATTTACATTTTTCTCTAGGGGCTTCAGATGATGTAAAACTTGGCTTCTTCCCAGCATGTGCTGCATGGAGTGGGAGTGGTGCCAGTGTGGTGCCAAGAGAGATTCTCAGCGTGTCCAGGGGTAGCTGATGCAGCTTTGAGTGTGTGGTTGCACGACTTTGGTGTCTGTGCTGGAAGGAGGAGCAGCCCCAGAGGAAGGTGATGCCTGGGAGAGCAGACTGCAGGTCCTGGCACTGCCATGGGCTCTGTGTATCCGACTGGCAGTCTGCAGCAATTCCTGCTTCCTGTGGGTGCTGGCCCCGGGACATCCAGCGGGATCAGCCCATCCTCCTGTTTGTCAGCAAGTGGTTTACAAGTGCCAAGCCTTGGGCATCACTGCAAGGGACCTCAGTGACACAAGGACAGTGACAGCACGTAACCACGCACAGAAAAGGCAGAACCTGAAATGACTCGCTGCTGATCTGCTCTGGCTCTTCCCACACACACTGCCTGTGCATTTAGTGTTTGTCATCTGCTTTAATGACCTACTATAAAGGACCTGATTTTGTGCTCTCAGCAGTAAAAATCCGGAGCAGCTCTGCAGGTCCTGCTGTTCAAAGGGGTGAGCAGGGTTATGGACTGAGCTCCTGGAGAGGTTTCAGTGGTGCGATGGACACATGCTCATGCACCTGAGAGTGTGTGTCCTGAAGTGGGGCTGGTGAAATTCCCAGGTGTCCCCAGCCACTCCCAGGGACACAGTGGCCCATGCTGATGGCAGGTATCGCTGCCCATGTCCTTCTTTCTCCTTTCAGATGCGCTGATGTCTGCTCCTTGCAAAGACCTGACCCACCTGAGGTTGGCAGATGCACAGATGTGACCGTGAATCACCAGTAAAAGGTAACCATCACTCACCTGTACTACTGCTGGTGGGATCTCTTTCTGTCCTGCTGAGATGGCCTATGCTGCTGATGAAGTCTGAGGTCATCTGAGGGTGGTGGGTGAATCCCTGCATCTCCCAGGGCCATGTCCCCACAGCCAGACACCCCAGTCCTCACAACGTTCAGGAGTCATACCACTGCGTGCAGGAGCATTGGTGAGTGGATCTGCACCTCCTAGCCCTCCTCAGTCCCTCTTCCTCCACATATCTCTTCTTGTTTTCGGTAGAATGAGTGAGAGAGACATACAGAGCCTGAGCAAATGGGTTTTCGTGCTCAGTCTCTGCCTTACCACGCTGTGGGGACGTCTGACGCTGGCCTCCACGCATCAGCACAGAAGCCATTCAGGTAGGGGAGCAAGACCCTTGCTGCATGTGTCACATGCTTGTGCAGTCATCTGGGTGCCCACGATAATGGCAGTACTTTGGGGTCTTCATGGGATGCCTGAGGTGGGGGTTACATGGGGATGAGCTGCTTGGTGGAGTTCTGTCTCACATTTCTTGATGGGGGAGGAGGAGTTCCAGGCTGTGGTGCACACCTGCAGCAGGCAGGCATCTCTGGGGACCAAATGCTGACAGCCTCAAGGAGCTCGGTGTCCATCCCTTTTCCTGGGGTCTGGGCAGCAAGGGTGAGCATGCAAATGTGTGGGGCAGCATCCAGCAAACAGACACCAAGAGGCACAACACAGTGCCACTGTGACAGCTGTTGGTGTTTGGAGTGTCCACTGTGCAGGAAACTCCTGGGACTGCTCCTTCAAGATGGGTGGGAACATGCAGCCGTAGCAGCTGATGCCTGGAGTTAGAAGTTGTGAATACTCATTGTGGGGCATTTAAAACCAGTGGCTTGGTGAGATGGGGTGGTCTAAGGAGTTAAAGAAGGAATTTCTTCATGTCTGTAGCAAAATCTGAGGCACATATGATGATCCATATGTAGATCTGATACATCTGTGTGAACCCATTGTTGCAGTAATTCCTGCTCTGTGGGCAGTGGATGTAAATCTTTCCACCCAAGTTGCTATGAGTATCACAGACCCCACTTGTTATGTGGTGGACACTCTCCACCCCACTCTCCACTTATTAGAAATAAAAATTTGTATCGCCCTGGTTGCAAAGATCATCTAGGAAGATGGAACAAGTGTAAAGTATGTAGAACTGAAAGTCTTGGTGGAAAACATCATTGTGGCTCTGAGATGTTTATTTGTTATTCCCAGCTGTGAATCTGAGATTTCCTCTCTGAGCATTGGAGTGCTGCTTTGTGGCATGGATGTGATTTTTTTGGAGGGGTTATGTGAACCCATGGTTGAAGTTTGTGTCTGGAGAAGAGAAACATCTGAGAAGTTGTGCTCAGCCCTTTGTGCCCATCCTCCCTTGTACAGGAGCCTGATGGTCCAAGGCTCGGGGCTTCTTGGAGCACAGTGGGAGGATGTAGGGGAGGTGGGTGCTGGTGTTACTGGTGTTACTGGTGTTACTGGTGTTACTGGCGGAGCTGTGCACCTGGCAGCACAGGCAAACACTCGCATCCCAGGGCACCCGCTGTCTGCTTGATATGCCTCTGCTTGGAAAGGGCATTTAGGGGTTAATTGGAAACCATTCACACTCTTGATTGACCCCACACCTCACCCTGTCCTATTTCTGTCATTTTTGCCTGACAGTTAAAGCAGTTCTAATCCTGTAATCCCCACCCGCATTGCTTAAAACCAAAACACATCTTCCAGAGTGCCTCCCTCACCCAATCAGGCAGCAGCTACCTGCCCTTCCCTCCTCCTAACCTTGGATACCCCATCCTTGGAAGTGTCCAAGGTCAGGCTGGACAGGGCTCTGAGCAACCTGGTCTAGTGGAAGGTGGCTCTGGCAGTGGCAGGCAGTGGAGCAAGATGAGCTTTAAGCTTCTTTCCAACCTAAACTATTCTGTGATTCTAACTGGGGGAAAACTCTTCACTTTTTTTCTGGGATGACTTTTTTGGCACTGAATCAAGTCTACCAGGGATATGGGCACTGCTGGCAGCTTAAATGCTCACTCAACCTGCCCAATCCCAGTGCCAGAGAGCCCTTCTCCTCCATGGTATTAATTTGTAGGGAGCTGCTTCTTTGAATTGTGTTTATTCACAGGTAAAACCACCTAAAAATTATCAGCAGCAAAGGAAGGTCTTTAATTGTGACCTCAAACTTAAAAATTTCTTGAAGAGACAGTCCACATGCAAACCCTCTGTTTGCTGTCCAGGGACACGTCTGACTGTGGCAAGCAGGTCTGATAACAGAATTATAAAATATCTCAAGTTGGAAGAGATCCACAAGGATCATTAAGTGCAACTCTTGTTGCACACAAATCACACCACGTGCCTGAGATCCCTTGTGCCCACCCAGCACATGGAGAGGCTGCTTTGTCCAAGCAAAGTGCTGCTTCCTGCAGAATGTGGTTGGATTTAAGGAGCCACATGAATCAAGCACAGTCGTTAGGGAACAGAATAGGAGACTCCTTGGTGAAGAATATTCACCAGCAGTTTAATCCCCTGTGTAACATGGTCTTCATGATGAACAAGGCTGGAATGTCTGGATCCAACTCCCACAAAGGCGGCCCCAGCACCTTCTAAAGCTGATAATCAAAGGGCTGTCTTCACCTTTATGCTCATCACTCAACCTGAAGCAGAAGTAAAAAAGCATTTAAGTCAGCTGGGATTTTTTCTTTTGGAAAATGAGGTTCTCTTGGCATTGCCTGACACTTACATGCATCCAACTTCTCTTCATTTTGTAGCTCTCCACCAGCAAGCAGTATTTTACACTGAACATGTGGGGTTGTGCCCACGCTCCCTGAGATACTCAAAATGTGTCATTTCGGGTTATGCCATAAAAACCCCACGTTCTGCTGCTCATTTAAAGGTCAATCAGAGTAGGACAGCATTTTCATTTTATTTTTGCATGCAGGATTCAAAAGCTGTTTGCTCTTACAATTCTTCATGGTTCCATGAGATAAGCTGTGTCTTTTAAAAACGGGTTCCAGTGGGGAAATACCAGTTAAATGGGAGGGAGAAGCATGCCAGAAGCTCTGGAACTTATCCCAGGCTCTCGGGAGATTTCCTGCTGTCGGTGTTAAACACACCATCCATCTGATACGCATTCTGTTCCAAGTTTCCTGCTGCTCAGCAAAAGGAGAAGCAGCTGCAGGGAGCTCTGGAGCCCGCTGCTCGCGCTGCACGTGGGCTCAGCCTCTCTGCTCTCACTTCCCAGGCACGGGACATGAAAACCCCGAGTGGTGGGGGTGGGAAAACAAGTGAATCTGGTGTGTAGGAGCTGAGGTGCATTTTGGCAGCTGGGATGGCCCCTACCTGGCGCCCCATGGGCTCAAATGCATGGCCTGGGAAGGGGATGCAGTGTCCTGCTGCCAGGACTGGGGCTGGCACCTGGAGGGGGCAAATTTCCAGTGGCATCGTGTCCTAGGGCAGGGCAGGGTGCCAGGTGGTCAGAAGAAAATGCAATGGGGAATGGTTTGAACTGGAAGGAGACAGGTTTTGGTTCGATGTTCAGAAGAAATTCTTCCCTGTGAGGGAAGTGAGGCCCTGGCTCAGACTGCCCTTGAACACAGTCCGGGAAGTGTTCAAGGCTGGGCTGGATGGGGCTTGGAGTAGCCTAGCCTAGTGGAAGGTGTCTCCGCCCGTGGCAGGGCGTGGGATAAGATGATTGTTAAGGTTCTTTCCAGCCCTAGCCAGGCTCTATTCTACAGTTCTAAGAGCTTCAGGCAAATGGGAGTATTCTGTGTCCTGAGAGCTGGATGAGTCCCGGGGCTGCGTGCTGCTTCTTCGGCTCTGCCATCAGTAGGGCCTTGCTGTGTGTGCCCCAAGGGGGCTGTGGGGCTGTGCCAGGGCAATGGGGTACCTGCCCCACACAGGTAGCTCTTCCTGGGCAAGGACTCTGAGCACTGCAATGCCCCACACTCAGGTGGCTGCCATAAGCCAGAGGGAGTCAAATTTCTCTTTATCTCTGAGCTGCACCTTTCTGAGCAAATTGAAAGGGCTTTGACACGTTAGCAAACTGCTATTGCATGGTTGTAATGACCAATTTCTCAGTTCTGCCTGGCTTTCCCTCGGCTGAACCTTTTAAAATTAGCTGGAAATGAGCAGCCGGAGAGCAGGACTGCAAGGGAGCAGAGGGCTCCTGGGCAGCCCTCCCGGGAAGAGCTCTGCTAATGAAGCTTTTCTGAAAATGAGTCAAAACCGTAACCTCGTGTGAACACTGAGACTTGAGGGTGTAAAATTCCCTGGTGAGGTGCGCGGGGTGGAAGAGTGACTCCCTGTGGTCCTGAACCGCAGTGTGAGAGGAATGTGGGCTCATAGGCAGCCCAAGCCAAGGATCTCTACTTCCTCCTCAGATTATTTGAAAAATACCATGCAGCATAAAGAAAGGGCAAAACAGTCATGTTTGTTCTGCAAAGAGTTGCTTTCCTTTTCACTTTCACCGAAGTCTACCATTTCTGTATACAAAAAGAATAGAATTCATTATTAAAGCTGAATTACTATGGCATTTCAAAGAGAAGATAAAATTTGTGGCCAGAGATATTATTACAAAATATTCCATATAATAATGGTGTAATTTTTATGGAAGAAATGAAAGTAAGGGTTCATTAAAAGAAAATGACCATGAAATAGCAATAAATGGAGTAAATTAAAGTCATGGTGATTGTGCAGCCCATCCTGCCCGTGTGCGGTGGTGCCGGGCACAGGGCAGCTCCTCACCTCCCCTGGGGATGCTCTTTGTCTCCCACCCGGCTCTCAGGAGGGCAGGGAGTGCTTTGACTGGAAGTGGGTAGAGCCATGCCCAGCTGCCACAAGCCAGGCGTTCACACCCCGCAGAGCATTTCCGAGCAGGGATGTGAAAAAATGTCTGCAAGGCAAAGGGATTTCCCCCGCGGTGGGGGAGAGATCCCATTTCCCTCAGCTGTCCTTGGAGAGGCGGAGTGGCTGCATTCCAAAAGCTGGGCAGCGTTTGTTGGTGAGGGTGGGCACCTGCTGAGGGGCACTCGCCATGCACAGGTCAGCTGCCCTGGACCCCCAGCTTTGTGTCACTGGCAGGGATGGCATTGCCAGCAGGATGCTCCAGGGTGAGCTGGGAGCTGCGACAGCATGGGCAGGATGAGGCAAATGCAGGGTGGGTTGGAGCAGCTGCTGGAGCCTCATGAGCTGGGAGAGGGCTTGAGTGGGGGCTTGTGCTGACAGGGTCCTGCAGCAGCAGCACACATCATTCCACACAGCCCTGTATGTCCTGCTTGCACACATTGATCCACACAGCCCTGCATGTCCTGCTTGCACACATTGATCCACACAGCCCTGCATGCCCTGCTTGCTCACATCGTTCCACACAGCCCTGCATGTCCTGCTTGCACACATCATTCCACACAGCCCTGCATGCCCTGCTTGCACACATTGATCCACACAGCCCTGCATGTCCTGCTTGCACACATTGTTCCACACAGCCCTGCATGCCCTGCTTGCTCACATCGTTCCACACAGCCCTGCATGTCCTGCTTGCTCACATCATTCCACACAGCCCTGCATGTCCTGCTTGCACACATTGATCCACACAGCCCTGCATGCCCTGCTTGCACCTCTCTCCAAGTCTTTTGTCTGGTGGCAGCTCCTGGGGGCTCTGCGCTCCAGAGTGTGAGAGGTGTCCTGAGCCAACGGCATGGAGCAACCAGGAATGCCCTGATGCCTGCTTACCTCCATACGTTTTGGGATACCACACTGCAGGAATGCAGCTTCCCTGTCCTCTACCCAGCTTGGCTCCTGTTTGCTAGGGAATAAAACACTGTCCCCAGTGACCCACAGGACCCAAGGCGTGCCCATGTGTGGCTCTGCACTGCTGCTCCAGTGCTCATTAAGCAGGACCTGCAGGCATCTCTGGGGTCGTGGGAATGAAGTCTCTCAGCCCTTTTTGGCTGATTTGTATTGTGCTTGTGTGGGCCATTACCCAGCCAAAGCACTGATTTGAGATGCTGACCAGCTCTAAACTCTGATCCCAGAGGTGATCAGCCAACACGGTAGTTTTCTATTTTCCTTAATATTTTAATGGCACTGGGAGGAGGAGCAGCAGAGCAGCTTGAATTGCTGATGAACACCATGACATTTCTCTGCCGCTGCAGGGTGGAAACCTGATCCTCCTCCAGGGAGAGGGTGGGTGATGGCAAGGTGGAGGCACTGACTGTAGCTGTGGTCGGAAGGGATGCTGTTCTGCTTGAAGCCAAAAGCAGCACAATGCACCATCCTCTCTTGTAGGAAAGTGCATCTCATTATCAGCTGCAATTAGCTAATGTGCTCGTTAGTTTCAATAAAGCTCTTGGCTTGGCTGTGGCAAGAGGGGATGCATTTTGGAGGGTACGATGGATGTGAGGGCTATTAGGAGCAAGACCTGAGATATAAGAGGTGTGGGGCAGGAACCACCACTTTTCCTTACACGAGGGCTGGGAAGATGCTGTGCCCAGACACCAGCTGTCCATCACCAGCAGCCCCAGGGGCGATTCCAGAGCCAGGACACCACTGCACATACTGGACTCTCCTGTGCCTTGGTCACAGCTCGCAGCAGCAGCGCTGCCCAGGGCAGTGGGCAGGGGATGGCCTGAGCTCTGTGAGTCTCACGGGGCTGTTTCTCCTGCAGTGCACGTGGAGCCGGGCACGTGCGAGGTCATCGCGGCTCACCGGTGCTGCAACAAGAACAAGATCGAGGAGCGCTCCCAGACGGTGAAGTGCTCCTGCTTCCCAGGGCAGGTGGCAGGGACAACACGGGCAGCTCCCTCCTGCGTGGACGGTGAGTCCCCATGGTGCAACCCCTTCCTTTTCAATCCCTGACCTCATCTTCATGGGTTAAACATGTGTGGGGTCTTCATGTCCCTGGCATTAGCAGAGGAGACCTGCCCTGGGATCCTGCAGCAGAGCAATGGGGAAGGGGGCACATTTTGGGGACGCTCCTTCATTGGACACTCACTGAGTTGGTGTGGCTGTGATACTCCACTCTGTGCAGCCCTGGGCTATGTGCTGTGGGGGAGTTACTGGGGTTCCAGCATCACTGTGCTGGGGTCAGGTCTGCAGCACTGATCCCTGCACTTCTCCTCACCCTGCTGCCACAGCTGGAAGCAGGGATATGATTCCAGCCATGCAACACCTTTGCCTGTGAGGAGCACCAAGCATACAGCCTGTATGTTTTATTGAATGCCGTTATGTGCCATGACCAAGGAGCCATCAGGAGCACCACCAGCCCCTGCCAGCATGGTATTGATTTGCTTGACAGCCAGTGGCCTGTGACTGCAGTTCTGTGCAACACCAAGTAATGCCAGAATAAATTGTTAGGGAAGGCTCTTGTTGTCCCCAGCTGCTCAGGACACATTGTTCCCAAATATAAGAGAGCCCACTCTGGTTGCCCAGACTGGAGCCATGAATCACAAGACCCTAATAGAGCAGAGTGGTAGGAGACAATCCCTTTGCTCTGTAAGTGGAGCCTGAAACAGGTTCTTGAACAGCACTGCTCTCCCTGGGAGTGAGGACACTGGGCTTTTTTTCCCTTGGGTAGTGAGAGAAAACAGGGTGTTCTGGAGGCAGGTGGAGCAGTTGGGCCAGGTGAGGCCAGGCAGGTGAGGAGCAGCTCCTTGTCCAGGGCTCCCCAATGTGAGCTGTGCTGGAGAGAGGGGCTGTGTCTCCTGGTGTCACCCAAAGGTGGGCAGAGCTGGTCCTCCATGCCCTGTGCTGCAGCCTGGCTCCTGATCCCCTCCTCTCCCCAGCCTCCATCGTGCTGCAGAAGTGGTGGTGCCAGATGGAGCCGTGTCTGGACGGGGAGGAATGCAAAGTGCTGCCTGACCTGTCGGGATGGAGCTGCAGCAGTGGCAACAAAGTGAAGACGACCAAGGTACGTCCCCGCCAGGTGATGGGGGGAACCCAGGTGTGCCTTCCCCAGCCTGGGGCAAGCAAGCAACACCCAGGAGAGCACCCACAGCTCCGTGGGGAAGGAGAGAGCTCCAGCTCCTTCAGGGCACACACTGATAGGGACTCACCGCAGCAGAGCACAGGGTCTGGGCTGTGCACTTGCCACTGGTGCTGGAGGGGCTGGCAGGCATGCCACAACCCTGAGTGCATCGCAGAGCTTTGCCAATTGATCATTCTTGCTGGAAGGCTTGGTGTTGGATGGCCCAGCCGCTGAGCAGACATCCTAGGTGTGTCTGTGTAACATCCCAGGGCTCCCAGGGTGTCCAGGTTGCTCCCCAGCACTACCCACTGCTCTAAGGCCACAGGTTGCCCTTCCCAACCCAGTGGCACAGCCATGAATCTGTCCCTGTTCCCTGTCTGAGGCAATCATTTGTGACAGAGCACTACACAATTATTATTTTCATGGCTTGCTGAATACCCCAAAGAACAAGGTGTAATTAAAATTTTATCAAACTCATTAGTAATTACATATATGCCATGGTTAATCAGTTGCATAATTTTGTAATCATTGTTCATACTGTTGAGTGTAATTATTCCTTATGCTTTCGTTTTCCTCGTTCCACATCCCCCACCACAAAATTATCGTATTAAGCAATGTCAGGATTTTTTTCATTGCTGCTATTATTTTTGTGCACAGAAAGCACTTTCATGCTGAAGTGTTTTTATGGACATCCAAAAAGGTTCCTCCAGCCCTGAGCATCCATCACTGACCAGTACCTACAGCATTACATTGAGCTGGTTGTCTTTTTCCCCTCTTAGTGTTGCTTGGTTGGTTTCCCCCAGCAACTGATTTAGCACAAAGCCTCTGCTCTGTCTTTGCTGTCTTGAATTCTCACTGGGACCATTCCCATCTGGAATGGGAGTAGGACTTGGGAGCTTCTGCTCTCCTGCCTCATCCAGCAGTCCCCTCCATAGCCAATCTCCTTTTGGGTGCTGTGCCCCTCCTTAGGGAGGCAGCAGTTTGGGAACACAGACCTGTGTTTTCTAAAGGACTTCTGGTAACTTTCGATGACTTTAGTGACTTTGGAATGGTGCCAAAGGGCTGGATTTGCATCTCAGTCCCCTGTGCAGGCACACCTCCGTGGGAGCTGCAGCCAGAGCACAAAAGTCACAAACCATCCTTAAGGTGACATTTGGAGTGGCCACTCCATTAAATGAAAGTAAAGAGCCAATCTTATTTGCACCTCTTGAGGCTGTTTGCTGATAATTAATGGATGAGGAATCAGCTGGATGCATTGGATAATTTCTCCTCTCCTCCACAGGTCACTCGATAGCCCCCGTGCAGGGTGGCACAGGCTGAGCAGCCTTGCCATGGGTCCTGGTGCTCCCGTGGGCAGCAGGATGTGGCCCTGCAGAGGGGGATGCTGCAGGGCTGCCAGGCTGCACCCGTCAGCAGGACTGTGACACTGCTGGATCAGAGCATCCTCTGCGCCCCAGCTTCCCTGGAGGCTGCAGGCAGGGATCCCAGCGCAGCTGCCAGCATCCCATCACTCCACGGTTTCCTCCTTTTCTGTGGACACGTTCACCAACCAAGAAATGGGCTCGTTTTCTAATCCTCCTAAATAAAATACTCCCACTATGTAAGAGCTGTTGACAATGCAGAGACAGACAGGCAGCAGGCCCCCAAAATGGGCTTTAATTGGAATAGCTGAAATCATTGCTGTGAGTCGCCTTTCCCCCCAAGATGCTGAATCCAGGTTGCATTGGAATTGGGAAATCAGTGGTTATGTGAAACCCTTCCCCATGTGGCTCCTAGCCCTGGGGTTCCTGGGAGCAGCTGCTGAGCTCCAGCCTGATCCTGAGTCACTGAGGGCTGCTCTGCCCTCGGAGCCTGGCCTTTCCCTGCCCCACCGCTATGACCACAGGCAGCAGATGTGGCAGCGTGGTCAGAGGGTGTCTGACACCCTGTTGGCTCCCAGGGATGGTGAGATGTCTCCATGGTGCATGCTGCTGGTTTCTCCTTCCTCAGTAATTGCATTATTCAGGTTGCAAATTTAGTATTTTCCACCATGCAAATCCCAGGCACTGAGTTTCTGCTTGTGTTTGCAATTGAATTTCAGACTTGTGTGAGGCGACCTCTCCGTCTGCAGCTCTGGGGTGTCTGGGGCATCAGAAAGGGCCTCTGACCAAGCTAGATTTTGTTGTAGTAATCCCAAATAAAGAAAAATGTACCACCTTCTGGCCCTGAGCTCATGACCTTCTCCAGGACACGCCATTTCCCGTGGTGTGGCAACTCAAGGTGGGGGACAATGTGAGCTCTGTGCCCCCAGTGTCAGAGGTGCTGGGGACCCTGGGGCTGTGGGACCAGCACCTCTAGCCCTGCTCTGTGGCTGCTCTGGGACCCTGCAGGGGATGTGCTGGTGCAGGAGGGGCTGGAGATGGTGTGAGGACCATGGCAGTGAGGGGGTCCCTGCTGTGCTTGCTGCCACCTGCCTCCTGCCCTGGCTCCCTCCACAGGACTCATTATTGAGATGTTTTTGTAATGGGGTACGTAATACCCTCTCCAGATGCGATGTAAATACCGGACTGTGAAATAATAAATTCATTTTAATCTCTGCAAAAGATCTTTTCACTTATCAGCAAAGGGAGGCTCTGGGAGTGCTTCTCATGCTGCTGAATCCAAAGTGAAGCGGCTGGGGACTCTGCCCTGGCCATTCCAGTCCCAACCAGCTTGTTCAATGATGGCTTTGGAGGAGAGCTGAAAGCCTGTTGTGGCCAGCAAAGGCTGAGTCGCTCATAGTGATCCTAAAGAAAAGTGCATTAATTTCTACAGGATGCTTTGCTTAGAGCTTCTCTTATCCTGCTGCTTCCCCTTTGTGTGTCAGCTCCCACTGCTGCAGCGCTGTGCCCCCAAAGATGCTCCCCCTGCCAAAGGCCAGACTGAGATTTTAAAGGTTCCCACCTGGAGTCCTGTGCCCTCTGAGAACCTAGGCTGTCGGATGCAGAGTGGGAATCTGTTATTTGCAGTAGGAAACACCAGGCTGTAGATGGGAACTTCCCTGCTTGGCTGAGCATTTTCATAGCTGGCTCATAACGTGAAGGATCCACTCTGTGGAAGTGTTGAGCTTGACACCTACATTGATGTAAAAACATTTTATTGTCTGCATAATAGGCACCCTTGAAGCTTATTTTTCACTTACTGCAGCCCACAGTTTAGTGAGGAAATAGCCCCTTGGTGTCTCTGCTGAGTGCTGACCTCGCTGCTATCACACCATCCGAGTACACAAATACTGCAAATTGCTGCTCCTCTCCTGGCAGGTAAATGTGTTTCCAAGGAGAGCACTGCAGCCTGCAGGACTGCTGCTGTTACCTCTGACTCCTGAGCAGCCAGGGAAGGATGCTGCTGCCCTTTACAATTCTGGCCCTCTACCCTTCTTGCACTCACTGTGTTTTCAGTGCTTTCCTTTGGCCAAGCAGACAAACAGTCCTAGCAGGAGCAATAAACCAAGGAGGAGGGTGATGGTGATGGGAACATCTCTGGCCTGAGACAAGGACTTTGATGCCCTGTCTCTTCACTGCCTCAGTGGGACAATGCCACCTGCACAGTCCCCAGCAGACACCCTGATCCCTTCTCTCTCTGTGTGACCACACTGCTGGTCCCTGAAGGACAAATCTGTAGGGGGATAGAATATAAGAAAATAAAGATAGTATAGAAAGTAATCTTACCCCTAAGGAGTTGTAGCTGGGCCCATTATCAAAGATTAGGAACAGGTCTGACTTTAACAGGCCACAGCTATAACCAGTGAGAAGAAGAGTGCTATAAAAGAGTGGATGGCTGGTTAAGACAGGAACTGGAGTCAGTTGTCTGCTTTGTGAAGAAGAGAGAGTCAGTGCTTGGAGGAGCTGCCCACAAGAAAGCACCAAGAAGGTATGAAACTTTTGTGGTAAGGAACAACTGTATGGAACCCCTGCAATAAGATAACAACACAAATCAACCCCTGCAGCTGCATCAGCAGCTTGGACACCCCAAGCTCTCATGCCAGGGTCCCAGATCCACCCTGCCCAAGTCCCCGTCTTCGTGGGGAAGTCTTGTGCCAAGTTCTGTCTTGTGTGCAGTATCTGACTGGGAGCTTGCACAGACAAGATTTGAAGTTGCCCAAGGGGTGATTAGTCAGATGAAACTGTCACAGTTAACGTACTTTCAACATCATCTCCCTGGGTATTATAATTACACCCCATTCAATTAGTCTTCAGGGAAAAAAAGTCTTTTGTATTAAGATTTGGTGGAGAATTATTAAAGAGTGAATTAAAAGACAAGGATTCCATTTTACCTACAAATACTAAAAGCATAATGCATAAAATACCCCCAAATTACAAGCTGACTAAATGTAGAGCTGTGCTAGGAGGTGAAATGAAAGGTAAAATGAAACCCTTTGAGCAGTACAAGGTGCAGTATTATCAAAGAAATAAGATGGAAACATAATTAACCACCCAGCATTATGCTGAAAGATGGCAAATTGAAATGGGAGACAAAATTAGGTGAAATTGCAGAGCAGGCTCATTTATTTCTGCTTTATAAATCAGTGCTACCTGTCAGCAGTGATGCCAGGCTATTCCAGAACAGGAGCTTTCCAAGGGAGGATGTTCACAGAGACCTCACCTTGTCCACGTTGGGGCTGCTGTGCTCTCCTGGATGGTGAATCTGTGTCACTGTGGGAGCAGGTGATGCCTCCAAGGGTCACATCTTTGGTGCCCTTTCCTTCACCCAGCCATGGTGCATTCAGGCCACACCTGGTCTGTCCTCTTCCCCAAAGGCTGTTTCCCTTTCCCTGATGCTTTGCTGCTCTAACTAGTGCCACCCTTGTGACTTTTGCAAGTGCTGCTCCTATGGCATCCCACAGGGAACCTGCCATCAGTGGCCTCTTGCACTGGTGAGTGCAAGTCCAATTTAGGGCTGGAGGAACGTTTTCTTTAACTGTGCTAAATTTCCTCCTCTCGGCCTTAATTGGCTCCCATTCCCTATAACCCCTGCCCCTCCACTCTCCTGCCATGGCTCTGCTTGCTCCTCTCTGCCCATTTGCTTTATTGCTGCTTTTCAATGAATTCAAACAAGAAAAGAATTGTCTTTTCCAGAAGTAGAGAGATTTTTGTTAGAATCACCTCAGCTATGCAGAAACATCCCTGTGCATCTCCCGTGCTGTGCTCAGGAATGGAGAAACCTGGAACTGGTTTATCAGATGAGAAGCAGAACCTGTCTCATCCAGCTTACAGGGTTCACAGAGGTGGCAGGTGCCCGTGGCTGTTCTGGCACTAGTGTATTTGGACATGAGCACGTGGGTCAGGTTTTTTTCTACTTTGCCAATACCTTTCACTAAGAACACTATTTTTTTGCCCCCTCTGGCTTGTTTGTAAGTAGATATATCCCTGTTTTGGGTATGTGAACCAAGTGGCTTCAGCACCCAGACATGCTCCCCATCCCTCCCGCCCTCAGGACAGAAGCCAACAGCAGCCACAGCCCCACCACCAGGACATGGGGACATGTGGCCATAGGGACACGGGGCTGTGGGCACCTTCCCCACTGCCTTGCATGCCATGGGACTCCATTAGAATCACTAAAATAAAAATACAACAGCACAGTCTTTTCTCTGGTTAATACACTGTGATGGGGCTGTTGGAAGCATTAGATGGCTCTTCCAAAAATGCATCCTCATGTTTTATTCAACTGTGCATTTGTGAAGATGTTCTTAAGGGAATGAATAAAATATTCATTTAGATGCTCCTGTGCAATAAAGGCAGCCAGGGCAGAAACCATGCTGCTGGGTCAGGGCAGAGCTGGCCCTGGTGCAGGCAGCCCCAGGAGGATCCCTGGGGATCACAGAATATCCTGAGCTGGAAGGGACCCACAAGGATCATTGTGTCCAGCTGCTGGCCCTGCACAGGACATCCCCTGGAACCCCACCATGAGGGGCTGCACAGACATGGGTTCATCCTGGGCACACTCTGCTTACTACCTGGATCAGGGATTAAATAGAGGCTCATTTTTACAAAGGGATTTCTAGCCTTGTTTTCCTGCTGGGGCAGCTGCAGTGGCCACAGCAGAAAAAGAGCCATTGGCTGGGCCAGAGCAGAGAGGGAGGATGCAATTTAATTTGTGCATTTCCCAGTTTGTTAATCTCCTGACTTACTGCTGGTATTTGATTTCCGTAGCATTGCTTCATAATAAAGGGATTAGCCTGGACCCTAGGTCTGCTCTAATGCTCATCTACTAGGGATTAGAGAGAAATTTTGCAGTTAGTTCATGGGTCAAATAGGTAGAAATGAAAATATGTGTATGGTTTTGTTGACATTTGCAGGAGCACTCAGTCTGTGATCTGGCACTGGCTCTCCTGACCCATTCAGCATCCCCTGCTTCCTGATCCTCTTGCTTCCCATTTTACAGGGCTCCCAATACCCTGGTCCCTGCCTCACAGGGGTCCCAATCCCCTCCTCCCCATGACAGGACAGTTTCAATCCCCTCTTCTCTGACTCATGGGCATCTCAGTCCCCTGTTCCCAGTCTCACAGGGGTCCCAGTCCTCTGCTGTTTGGCCCAGAGCCCCAGAGTCAGGAGCCTCAGCATCTCTCCCTCGTCAGGGTGATGGATGCTGTGGTGGCAACAGCAGTACCTCCAGCTGCCAGTGCTGGCATGGTCAGGAAGTGCCTTGGGCAGTGTGTAAAATCCCTGTGAATTGTGGTTTGATTTTTTTCCTGCGCACGTCTGTGGCACCAGAGGTTAATACATTACCAGGCTGACCTGGATATGAGCAAGTCAGACATCCTAATAAATGCGTGCTAACTGAAAACACAGACAAATTAGCACATGCTCCATTTCCTTCTAATGGTGTGCTTTTCTCTGCTCTCAGCTTCCCCATGTGTGCCAGGAGCCAGCTGCCCCTGGAGTCCTGTGGAGCAGGACTGGCCACCTCCCTTGCGTCACCTTCTCTGCAATGCTCCCAGCCCAGCCTGGTCCTCTGAGCCATCAGGAGTGAGATCTTACAGGCAGAGAGAAGCAAAATTGATTTATTGGTAACATGATATAGTGAACGGAGCCAGGATTAAGTAATGATCCAATTAAACACTCCTGGATGTATTCATATTAGTGAGCTCTACGTCAATCAATTATTTAAATACAATAATACTTAAATACACTGGGAATCCTGTGTTTATTACAGGGGCTGAGACCATGTTTATTAACAGCAATAATAAATGTTTTGGATACTCAGTTCTGTAAAGGCTTTTTTCTCTATGAGTTGTGAAAACTGTGCAGGAACTGCTGTGGCCACTTACTCCAGTGTGAGCTGTTTCTGCACCTTCATCTCTCCTGCTAGCACCTATTTCCATTTGAGACCTCATCTGGAAAGCTGATGCCTGGAGCAAAGAATCCAGGACTCTTAAATGCAGCAAGGCTATTAATTAATATTTTAACTGCTTTGCTGGAATAAATTCAACTTTAATGAAATAAAATTAAACCAGTGGCCTGGTGGAAAATGAGCTCAAGGATGGAGCTTATGTCATATTGTAGTGTCCCAGTGGTGAGTTTTTAAAGGGAAGCTGCATTTCAGGCAGAGCTCTGGCTGTCAGATG